TCGTCACAATCGGAAAAACGAATACGGTCTTTCCGATGCAAGTTGCACGAGACGACGCCGCACGCCTCTTCCAGCTCTAATCGGAAACGATTTGTTCAAAAACTGGCTGCAAATGGAGTGCCGATAGCATCTTCGGACTTGAGAAGAGTGTGCCATCTCGGCAAGAATAAGGTCAAAAATGTTGGAACCTGGAGAACAAGCGCGAGTGAATACGAACGATGACGATCCTCTCGCCCTGAAGAAGTGATAATTCCTCCCGAAAAAGGTGGCCTGGATCAAGGCTGTTGCCTATCCCAGCCTGAATTGCCAAGTTGTCATGACGGGCTTTGAAGGAAACGCGGCTGAGCAGGAATTTACAACCCAAACCTGCAACCGAATGAACCTGACGGGAGGGCCGACAAGAAGGATGGATCCGAGTCGGGAACCCAACACAAGCTCAAATGACAATTCCAGCTGGAGAAGCTATCGGGGAGGCGACACTTTACCCGGAGATATTAGCGTGAACGGTACTCGATCCTCGGACGAAGAGTACAATTCACTGATCTTCCCTTCAGAAGAAGCCGATTCTCGAGGCGCACTGCCAGAAGCACTTGTGGAACGTATCCCTTTCTGGACCACGTGAAGGAGAAGATTAACTTCAAAAAACAGTGTGCTGGACAATTGCGCAACGATCTCGACTCGATCTGTACCATTCCTGGATCAAAAGCAGGCCTTTTATCGGACCAGACGGACGGCACGGAGAGCCGGGGAAAACAGTCCACCGCATACTCAATTGGACAAGGATCGGATCCCGAGACGTCGCCCGGATGACTGTACCGCTTCGAGAAGCAAGCCGGAAGCGGAAGCCCAACCGGTGTTTCTGGCCCAAGGTCTCATAAGGCCCAGCACACATCACGATACCGTTACCCATCGTGCTGGTCAAGAAAAAGAACTCGAACGATAAGCAACGGTTTGCCATTGATTAGCGACCCTGAATGCCGGTACGAGGAGGAAAGCGGCAATCATTTTGCTGTTAATTGGAGACCTCGTCGATAAGCTTGCCGGCGGTTTCTATCTACACCTCAATGGATTTGACGGAGCTTCTATCAGGTCAAGCTGACCGCTGGGATCGCCCATAAAACGGTGTTCGGGAGCCACAATCGGCTTATACGAATTATTCGAATGCCGATGGGGTCACAGGGGCACCCGGAACGTTCCATGAGCGCCCATGCACGAAGCGCTTCAGTGATTGAAAGCCATCGTCGTCGCTCTACCTCGACGACGTGGCGATCGTCAGCTCATCAGTGGAAGCCCGATCTAAAGGACCCTCGAAGAAGCTTTGAGCGGCTGCAGCAGTTCGGGCTAAATTGAAGCTCGAAAAGTGCGAGTTTGGGGTCATGGAGACTCTTACCCAGGCCTCGATCATCGGAAGGGCCGGAGTGCGACCCAATCCCGAAAAACGAAAGCCATCGATGCCTATCCCCGCCCAAAAACTGTCACCGACGTCAGATCATTTTTGGGCGCTACAAATTATTTTCGTCGCTTTATTTGTGGATATGCAGCGATGCAGGCACCACTCAACGAGTTGACCAAATTGGATGAGGAATTCAACTGGACAGACGAGCGCGAGAACGCATTCCAAGAATTGAAACGACGCCTAGTTTCGGCGCCAGTCCTGACCGCCCCGATCAGGGATTACCGTATATCATCGAGACTGATGCAAGCGGAATTGCCTGGCCGGCATCCTCTTTCAACTCCAAGACGGATTGGAAAAGGTCATTTCCTACTGGAGTCGGAAATTGACGGAGATTGAAAGGAGATACGCGGCAATAGAATTGGAGGCTCTAGCTGCTTGCGGGCCCTCCAGAATTTTCAAAATTATGTCTGGGGAGCCGCGTCGATAATAATCCGGACCGATCATCGTCCGCTGACAACGCTGATCAGGGAGAAAAACCTTACCCCAAGGCTGACCAAATATCAGCTATCGTTACAAAGCTACAATTTGGTCTGGGAGTACAAAAAGGGAGTTCACAACGTGTTAGCGGACGCGCTGTCACGCCATCCACCGGATCCAGAGGAGCAAAGGAAGAGATCCATGCCCTAGATTCCGAGGAACTCCCGAACCCAGAACAGATCCGCGAAGCCCAGGGAAGTGCAAATGGATAACTGAAATCCTACGGACAGCGACCGTCAAGGGATATGAGCCGGAAGTGAAATCGAAGAAGGTCACGGAATGGCAGCAGCGCTATATTGTGCTAGAAGGAATCCTTTATACAAAACCGAAGGATCAGCTGACTACGCCGACGGTGGTTCTCCCGGAAGACTCGAAGTGGACGAGAATATCATTCGTCATTTCCACCAGCGACCACATTTGGGCGCACATTCTGGGAGCGAGCGCACTTCAAAGCTCGTCGGGCAAAAATATAGCTGGAACGGACTGAAACGACAAACCGAGAAATTCACTGCCGAATGCAAAGAATGCCAGAGAAGAAAACCTGGACCCCACCTGACACAAGTGCCCATGGGCCGCTTTGAACCAGCAGCCCGGCCTTGGGAACGAGTGCACGTCGACATTTGCGGCCCATTGCCGCAGACGGAAAGGGGTCACCGCTACTTCGTCACAATGGTAGATGCGTTTTCGAAATACGTCGTGACGAAAGCGGTGGCAGACACGAGAGCGGAAACAGTCGTGCGTACTCTGTACGAAGAATTGTACACGAAATACGGATTCCCGACGTTACTTGTCTCGGATAGGGGCTCCAGTTTCATTGCAGAACAATTCGAAGAAGTTCAAAAACTCTTCGGCATCAGGCACAACTTGTGCCCGGCCTACGTCCATTCTACGAATGGGCAAGTTGAGCGAGTCCATCGCACTCTGGAGGAGCTGATGGCAACGGTTATGGATGAAAGGAACCTACCAAAAACGGAATGGGATCGGTACCTCCCATTAATCACGTTCGCCCACAACCGAAGCATCAACAAGACGACCAACAAGGCTCCATATGAGGTTCTATTTGGGAAAAGGCCGGACGATCCGGAGGATTTTCTGAAGGAGCTGCCAAGATGGAACTACACCACAGTAGACGATTATTGCGATATCCTCAAGTCCTCGTTGCCGCACATCTGGGATGAAGTCAAATACCGGATCTCCACGGCACAGCCGGAAATGAAGCAATACCAAGACAAGGTAAAGAAGGCCAAGGAGAGAAGCTACGCTCCCGGACAATTGGTGATGATCAAGAACGAGACGGCGCACAAACTCGGACCACAATGGGATGGTCCGTACGAGGTGCTTCGAGAGGAGGATACGACTGTGGAGCTCAAGGGCCGTACCCGACGTCAAAAGCTCACGGTACACAAAAAACCGTATCAAGAGCTTTCGAACCGGGATCGACAATGGAGAAGTAGACGAGGATGGAGAGATGAACGATTCCGCTCTTGCGGAGCGCGCCTAAAGTTCGAGGACGAACTTTTCTCGGCCGCGAGGGATGTTAGCAACTCTATAAAAAAGCAAAGCACAAAAGCCTAAAACAAGGCGAAGATGCGAAGGGCGGGGCCTGGCTAGGGCCAAGGCCCAGGGATCTCCTTCAGGGAGTCCGTACCCCCCTCTCCCTTGGCATCTTCCCCGCTATGTTTCGTTTTCATATTAAGGTGCTATAAAAGGTCTAGTCTATAATTCTGTCTTCGGAGGAAAATGCACAGTCAGGTTGGTCGATTGCTTGCGGACTTTGTTCTTGAGATCGGAGTTTTGGGAAGAGCTATTACAGAGGAGGTTTGAATCTAATTAGTGCAGTGCTACACACAGCTACACGTTCCCTGAGAGAACAGAGGACTACACACACGCTATATCCATAAACTAACACATATATATAAGGATATAACACATAGTGGGTGCACTACAGGCTGTCCCAAGTTCCCTCGTTTTTATATTTTGTATGGGACTTTTCTTTGTAATTCCCGCTGGTATGAAGGCACTTTAGCATACATCATTTGCGTATTTATGGCCCGTATCTGTCCGGCCATAGCCTTGAATAATGCGATAAAGCCACGTCGGCGTTGGGGGATCAGTCCATAAGCGTTGAAAATTTCTTGCAACAAAAATGGACGTGCAGCGTGAGGCGGCCGAAGTGGACTTTACCCCTATCCATTTTTCTCTGCAACAAAATTGGGCTAAGCATTCCGCACACCGGGGACGATCAGAAATTGGGTAAAAGAATCGGGCAAAATTCGGTCGAAAGCGCTGTGCGATCGAGGCTTTGGTATGCATAGTGGGCGCACAAGTCGTTAGAAATGGCGCTGTAAAATGACACTGTAATACCGGTAAAGTAACAAAACTTTATACACGTAAAGTAACAAAAAGATAGCAATTAGCTTAACCCATGATCTGATTCATCTGGAACTCCAAATCGATGGTGCGACGATGGAATTCCTCGGCATCCGGGCGATAGCGGTTGGCCTGTACCCATTCGTAGGCTGCGATGCCGAGCTCTTTGATACGTCGTTTGCCATCGACGCTCAGGTGTTGGGCCTGTAAGTAAAACATTTTTAAGATTGGGCCCGAACAGTGCATAAAAATGTCGTTAAATGTTTGGCTTCGAGTTCGGAGGATACTAGCTAAAAACGGCTACCCATCATTACTTCTAAAAGTCATTACTTCTAAAATCATTACTTCTAAAAGTCGTTACTTCTAAAATTCTAAGCGTATTTTTGGGCATAAATATGGCCAAACGTGCCGAAAAACTAGAAGCAATGACTTTTAGAAGTAATGACTTTTAGAAGTAATGATTTTAGAAGTAATGATTTTAGAAGTAATGATTTTTGAAGTAATGATTGTACGCCGCTAAAAACACGCTCTCCAACAGCCGTTAATGCAGATTCGGACTTACCCGAGGATTCGTCAGCCACATCAGACCGTGGGCAGTGTCGCGATACTTGACCAGCGCACTGACATTGTTACGGAACGTCCGATCCTCTTCCTCGCACTGCTTCCAGTTCTTCAGATAGTGGGAGATGTTGAACACCTGAAAATAAATTATTACGAGCTATCTATCGGAATTTGAGCTGACATATGCAAATCTTTGATTCAGTTACAAACCGATTTCTTTCCAAGCTTCTCCCGGTCGATCTTGATGGATTCGTGTGTCCCTTCGAGAAGTTCTTCCGCTTCCACAGTCAGAATTCCATTCTGGTCGATCTCGTACGTCACGTCGATTTGCACCTCGCACTGCTTGGCCTTCCGGATTGGCAGCATGAACTTGCCGAGCAAGTTGTTCAAACCGTAGTCGAACCGCTCGCCCTCAACCACCTAAATACGGGCTTTATGTTGCGTTGCGTAACGGATTGCTTGTAGATGACGCAGCCTTCTTGTTCATGAAGAACTCACCGTGATACAGGCCTGTTCCTGGTAGTCGGATGCGTTGTGTACGCGCAGCGTCTTCTTGACGGGGAACGAGGTGTTGCGCTTGAAGAGGACGGTGGTTTCTCCGCCCCACATTCCGGAGCCGATCGTCAACGGGATGACATCGATGAGGTCGATGCAACGGATCGTCTCGTTGCAGTTGCCGACAAGGCGGGCAGCCTAAATACGGTCGTTAGGTTAAGAGAGAGAGAGAGAGAGAGAGAGAGAGAGAGAGAGAGAGAGAACTTGAGCTAGAGCGGAGAACGAGCGATACTTACCTGAAGTGCCGCACCACACACAACCATCTCCTCCGGTCTGTCCATCCAGCAGCCAGCCTTGGGGAACTTCTCGAGCAGCATCTCTTGCACCTTCGGGATGTTGCTCGATCCGCCAACGAACACCACCTCATGCACCTAAAGCTCCAATCTCAGGAAACACTCTTTTGGACTCACGTCATCATATCGAAGCTTAGCGTCCCGGAGCGCGTGCTCAACCGGAAGTAGGGATTCTTCAAAAAGCGTCGCGCAGATGCCTTCGTAGAATTCGCGGGTGATCTTCTTGCTGTAGTCAAAGTCGAGTAGAAGCGACGGGACCTCAATCCAGGCCTGAAACGATAGTGGATTGAGCATGACTTTCTGAACTCTACCTCTTTAGCGGCCGAAAGCTGGATTTTAGCTTCTTCACACGCGAGGCGCAGTCGGGCCCAAGCACGGCTGTCTTCCTTGATGACCTTGTCCTCCATGTCGGAGAGGCAGTAGTTGAGGAGGGCATTGTTGATGTCCTCGCCACCGAGGTTTGGGTTTCCGCTTGTGGCCATGATCTCGAACTTGGTGGAGGTCATCCTGACGATCGAGATGTCGAGAGTGCCACCTAGAACCGGAGATAAGAACGCATCTAGTTATCCCCTACCTCCAAAGTCGTAGACCAAGACGATCCGCTCCTCGTCGAGGTGATAGTCGACACCATAAGCAATGGCAGCAGCTGTCGGTTCATTCAAAAGTCGCAGCACCTCGAGACCGGCCTGTTCAGCTGCCTCTTTCGTTGCTTGCCGCTGCGCGTCGTTGAAGTATGCAGGTACCGTAATGACCGCCTTTTTCACGGGTTTTCCAAGGTATTCACCGGCCATTTCCTGAAAATTGGATGATTAGAATTTAGACTTTTCATGGCCGTGTTCTGATTGACCCACCATGTCAGAAAAATATGCCCCCGCGTATCCACATACCTTCAACTTGGTCAACAACTGCGTGGACACCTCCACCGGGGTTACGGTATGGACCTTGTCCCCCTGCTTGACCTCGATCACCGGGTCCCCAAAGGCGTTGATGACCTTGAAAGGTCGCATCGTCATATTCGCCTGCACCGTCGGGTCCTTGAACGTCTTGCCCATCAAGCGTTTGACTTCTGAAAATTGCATAGGTGAAATTACGCAAATAGGCTTACCGTAAATGGTATTCCCAGAATTTCGGGCGGCCTGATTCTTGGCGGCCTGTCCGACTAGGATTTTGTCGTTGATGTATGCGACTTGAGACGGGGTGGTTTTGTTGCCTAAAAATCTAATTCCTAAAAACTCAAGCGTATCTACCGTATTCGTTCGGAATCATGACGACTTCATCGGCAAGGCAGATGGCCACCGCCGAATAAGTGGTGCCGAGATCAATGCCAATGGCTGGTTCGGAATTGTATAGCCTGAAAATTAATGTGAAAAATCAATGAAAATTTAATTGAACAAATCTTTAAGTTCAAAACTTACAGGCAACGAACGTTGTCCTTCTCCTTCTGAAGTCGGGCCATCTTGGCCTCCTGGAAAACACGGAGCCCCTCCTGCAGCTTCTTCTCCTCGGCCCGCTCAATGGCCAGCCGCTCGGCCTCCTCTTGGCATTGCCTCTGGTGGTCGTTCATCTGTTCTTGCTGCTGACGACGCAACGCTCCTAAAATTTGCCATGATAATCTTATCATTATCTGGTTTCTATCAAATCAAAAGCCTAGAAAGCTAAAACTCACTCAATTGCCCTTCCCCCACTTCCTGGTTGTGCTTGAAGCTCTTCTCCGCCTCCTGAAGTCGTTCCCACTTCTCCTGCAGCTCCTTCTCCTTCTGCTCCGCCTCCATCTTCATCAATTTCAGCTTCAGCCGATCGTTAGAGTCCTTCGACTTCAGCGCGTTCGCATCGGCGCTGAGTTTCTGGATCTCTTCCGTCAGTTGCTGCACATTTTCCTCGTGCTCCAGGCGTTTTTGTTCTGCTTCTTCTTCCATCTGGCGGACACGCTTCAGAGCGTCGACGGTGCGCCAGAATTGCGTCTCGGAGGCCTGAAATCTCAATATACCAGTGAAAAAACAATTTAAGGTCGAATAAAGTGGCCACACACCTTCAATCCTCTGGCCAAGCTACCGGAGTAGAGGCTGTCCAGGTACTTCTCAAACGCCTCCACCGGAAGATTAGGCTGTTCGTTGGCGAGCTCTTCAAGCAGTTCGGTCTTCGCCAACTCCCACGTCGTCTCAAGAGTCTCTTTCGCATCCTTCATGGCACTCTCTGCCTCGTCTTCGGTCAAGATTTGTGGCGCCACCTAGAATAATTTCGTTTCTCAGCGAATGCATGCAAAAATAGCCAAAAGACACCACTTACAAGTTTAAGAAGTTCATCAAAGTCCACGAGGCGCCTTTCGACAAGTTCTTCTCCCTTTGTCTTAATCCATTCCTGGGTATTCTGATGGAGGGCATCGTTGAGGCGATCCTGAAATTTGGTTTGGAAGACGGAATGCAATATGATACCTCGAGTAGCTCGACGAGTTGTGCTTTCTTCTCAAGGACGGTGTCGTAGTCAGTCGCGCAGTATTCCGAGCAGGCTAGAATAATGCAAATGTATTTTTTAAAACGGAGAAAATCTGTGAATATACACTTTTTACGGTATAGCCATGCTCCTTACATTCTTGGAAAGAGTTCAGGGCCTCTTTCATGGCTCGTCGATGCGAATCCTGCACATCGTTGATCGTCATCACTTCCTTTCTCAGGCAATCCGTCATTTCAGGCTAAATTTGCATATACCAGTAGTTGGAAAAAATGTCCATACCTGAATAGCCTTATTATACACCCGAAGTGCCGAATGGATAGCTCCGGTGAGATATTTTGCCTTGTGCTTCTCCGCGTTCAGCTCCCACTTGGCTTGCACTTTTTCCTAAAGACGTGCGTACACAATACGAAGCTTAAAAGTACCTGGAGCTCCGCCTCGAACTTGCCGAGCGCGTCGGCCAGCTCCTTCTGTGTGCCGTGGCGCCGAACCGCTTGGTAAGCCTGGAGTGCCTGCTTCCAAATCAGCTGCGAGCGCGCACGGAATTCTTCTGGCTTTAGGATCTCGAAGGTTGATTCCTAAAATTTGTCATTTTCCGGTTTTCATAAGAAAATTCTATACCTTGTTCCACAGGTCGCGGAACAGCTCCAATCCGGCATTGCGTGCTGTTTCCAGCGATAGCTGCTTGAATGCCTAAACGAAGAATATTCAAATCAAACTGGCCAGTTCACCGTATAGAAACTGCCAATTTTGCAGCGATTCTTCGACTCCATCTCCTTGAAGACGCCCTGAAATTGTTGGTATTAATTTTTGGTCAATATTGCTGAGATTGTAACATTTTAAACTCAATAAAAATTACTTACCTGGGTATATTGAAGGAAGCTAGCCCCGTTTAAAGCTCCGCCCATCACACATTTTGGGCGCAACGACTTGAGGACGTGCCGCGCGGCGTCGCACATCAAATTCAAGAACTCGCGTCCACAGCCTGAAAATTTGCATACAGGGAAGCGGGCAGGCTAGCAGAGATTAATTCGGAATTAGCCAAGGACGACTATACCTTACAAATCCAAAAAACTCACGCCCAGCCTCGATCTCCCCATCCGCAGAGCGTACAGCGTTCTCCGGCGGTACCACCAGAAAACTGTCGACCTTCTCGAAGGCGTAGTAGCAGCCAGCGATCAGCTGATAAAGCCGAGGAGCGCTCTTGGCCCCTCCGAGCAGATTCTCCAGGAAATCCGGGCTCAATCCGTGCCCCTCGAGCGCGTCTCGCACGAGGAACATGAAGTGCTGTCCAACTTTGTCGCCGCTCATATCGCTGTACTCGATGAAGCTGCTCAGCGACTCGAAGTCGGTGGCGTCGAGTTTTGAGTTGACGTTGAAAATCTGAAAAGAATATGGTTAAAATTAAGGCACACATTTTATACCTGAATTGAAGACAGCAGTAGTGAAGTGGAAAAGTAGTTGATCGATTCATCAACTTCGGATTGATTATCAAAAGTACCCTGCGTATCCATGAGAATCACAGCAATCTAAAATATTTATTAAGAAGGTTTACAGCCAAAAATTACCTCATTCCCGTGCACATCAGTACGCGTGAATACTTCGGGCCAGACGTTCAGTCCGACCGTGTCCCTTCCGAAGCCCTTGCGGAACGGAATCCCACCGTAACCCCTGGAATTAAATTTTAGATTTTAAGGTGGCATTTAAGCCATACCCGATAAGCTCGTGATCCTGGAATTTCGGATCACCAATTTGCAGACCCTTGAGCAGGATATTCTGCCAGAAAGTCTTTCCAAAACGAGACTTTCCACCCGTTGAGATGACGGCCACCTGAAAATAAGAATCGTTCGATTAAAAATGATCTTATCTTATTTGCTATTAGATAACACTATTTGAAAAATGTATTTACTGACCGGTCGGTTGCCAATCTGATTGCAAAGGCTCTCGAGCAGCTCCTGGTTGTGCACCGGGCTGTCACCGACGAGTTTGTAGAGGCACTCCATCGTTGGGGGAACCTTTATAAAGATTAATTTAAATCCTACTATATATAAAAAAATAGTGTCTGTGTGTGTGTGTGTATATTTGCATACAACTTCCGTCAGGTTGTTCCAGTAGTATCTCAATAAGGGGAGTAGTTGAGCGCATGTTTGATACGTCATTAGGTGCGTAATGGCCTGGGGATGACTGCACACCAATAGAATTTTCAAAAATGAGCTGTTTTTGACATTAAAATTAAGTTTTTGTTGAAAAATGGGCCACCCTCTTTGTTAGGAAACAATTAGCATACGCCGGAAGTTGCGGTAGCCTATATAAGGGAAGAGAGGGAACGTTTCTGATTTTTTGTCATCGAAAATGGTGAGAATTATGCAAAGTGAAGAATATCATCGGATCAGACGGGGCCAGGGTTGAAAAGTCGCGAAACGGCTTTTCAACCCTGGTTAGACAATTAATTTTTTATATCTAGCACGAGAAATGCGCAAAGTCATACCTCCATATCCTGAATGACGACAATGTCCTCCGGATCATCGCCGTTGGTAGACGCGTGAGCCGACATTTCTGGAAACGTACGAAAATTTGGTTTGAGAATTAATTTTGGAGGTTTTGAGAAATTGCAGGGATGAAAAGTGATAAAGCAGAGATTTTCATATCCCAAGCCCAAAAAGCAAAAAAAATCTCCCCGGCCGGGAATTGAACCCGGGTCTCGCATGTGACAGACGCGGATACTAACCACTATACTACCGAGGAGATGGAAGTTAGGGAAAGAGGAGCCAGTTTAAGGGATGGGGCGCTGCTAATAGCGTAGGGGGGATTGTACTAGTAGGCGATACGACTTCGTGGTCAAGGCACGTTCTTGGTCTTATGCTAATTCTGGAGAGGGCATCTTAAGACAACCGTTATGGGAAAATAATGAATGAGGCAAAGCCAAGCCAACTTGACCTATAAATTCAAAAGATTTATGGTCCTGCGCAGCAACGGAAATTAATGATAGTAAGCGAAAATGGCGGCACGGCTATGTGCAACGGGGGCAAGCATCTGCATCGCGTCATAGGTCAACCAATAGCCCGAGGGTACCTCTGAAGGGGTACATCAACCTGCACACACTTTTGAGGGCAGATCGATCGGGGGATGATTACGGATATCGAGAGGGTAGAAGGGGTAAAAGGATCCATACCAGATGATAGTATACAGGGTGTCCCAATAAAAAAGGTCACGCTGGCATTTTGCTATTTCAAATCCGATTGACTTGAAATTTTGCACAGAGGTGCGGAAGGGAATTTAAAATGTTCACAGAAACTTTCAGCCCGATCGGTACAGTAGTTTTCGAATTATTGTAAAAATACTGTTATTCCCACACTTTAGCTTCATTTTTTTCGGCTATCTTTCTGGACTTTGCATCAATTAACATAATTTTCCGGCTCTAAATCCCTTATTCTTCTTAACATCGGCGTCATTAGCCTTGTTAAAAAATACCTAAATAGCCTATTTTCGACCCGAATTGTGCGAAATAAAAAAATTTCCAGAATAAAAAACGGTCGGCGCTTCATTTTCTCCATACATTCCAGGGCTCAATTCCGGCGGAAGCCAGGTGAAAAACGTAAAATAAACTTTATTTTTGCTATAACTCTTAAACTACTGTACCGATCGGGCTGAAAGTTTCTGTGAACAGTTTAAATTCCCTTCCGCACCTCTGTGCAAAATTTCAAGTCAATCGGATTTGAAATAGCAAAATGCCAGAGTGACCTTTTTTATTGGGACACCCTGTATGCATATCCATTGATGGTACCGGCTTTACTTTAATGTTATTCTAACTTTTCAGGCTTTAGTGCTTTTCCCGCTACCGTAATCTTAAGTCGTTTTCGGCATGTTTTGACTCAGATTCAATTGTTCATCCACATTTTTAAATGGCTCCCTAAAAGCTTCACTCTTAAATCTAAAAATTATTGATACCTATTGCGCTCCATCCTATCGTTTCCAAAAAGCACTCGCTGAATTCCATCCGGCTAGGGTACAAACGCGGAATAACAGAATTTAGTGAATCAACGCGTGCCCCCAAGCGATTCACCGATTAGAAATTTTGAGCGGAGCCTCGCACCTCAACATCCAAAAAGACCGCCATTTTCTTGCATCCTAAAACTCGCCTAGACTTACATCCTAAATTTCACCCTAATCGTCGTCAGCATCCAAATTAGTCATTTTATTGCGCAAAAGAACTCAAAAGTCGCGCTTCTAAGCGAAGGCGACCATATACCGTCCAAAATCAAAAACATTAAATTCATATTAAAAAAAAATAGTAAGATTCTGGATATTTTGCATTAGGGATTTATATAGATTCCGTCTACATAAGTGGCCGGAAAATGCTTACGGGATATATATGGCAGTGGATAAAATTGTTTTTCGGCATAGGTCGACGGAAATTGATGATAGTAAGCGAATTCGGCATCAATGATTTGAAGTGCTCATGCATTATGTAACGCATCTGCCGTTTGAAATTTGATGGCGAGGGTAGGGTTACTGTAACGCTTCATAAGTCAATCGATTTTCGGAAGATGATTTTAATGTTATTAATATGGAAGCAATTCCAAACTTCCTCATATAACCTAGCCCAAGCCAAGTATTAAAAATTGATTCCGTATGCCTCTAAAATTGATTTTTGGGAATGCTGTTGACTTCTCGTAGTTTTACTTCGAAACGAAAACCCGACTTTCAAATTTTCGCAGAACCCTGATAACATTTCCAACCTCCTTTTAACCAATATAAATGTCCCGTAGAACACGATAAACAAAACAAACAACGCAAGCTAAATGTTGCTGCAGGTCAGTTTGTCGAGAGCGCTGGACCAGCATTTTTCTTGCATCCCAAAAACAGTCTTAGCATTTCATTGCTTCTTGTTTGTCAAGGTTGACCAGGCGATGATGATCAATGATTCAATCTGTCTCTTGCCACTATATTGATATTACCGCTTTAAAGAACTCAATTTAGAGTATCAAACAAAAATTACAGTACCTTGTTTCAGGAATGTCCTATCTTCAGCTTGTCCATTTCGACAATGGAGCGATTAAGATTAACGAGAGGGTCTTGAGAGATACAATTTTTAATGCAAAGTATCGTGGGTATAAGGTATCCTAATCGATAATTAAATAAAAACAACGATTTCTTTTCCTATTTTCATTTAATCGCACTTTTCAGGTGCGTCTGGTAAGCGTGGTCGGGCCAAGCCGAACCGGCAAAAGCTTCCTCGTCTCATTTCTTTCACAGTACACCCTCGGCACACCTTTTCCAATGTAAGCATTTTCGAGATATACTTATCGACGCATTTTCCAGAATCACCGGCGACTTCAAGAGCGGCTACGAACGTGTGACGACGGGTATCCACATCCTCTCACAACCCCAACTTTACAAGACCGACGCCGGGACGGTAATGGCAAGAAACGGAGTGATAAATCGGATTTTAGCATGCCGTTTTCCTGCTCGACACCCAGGGCACGTTTGATCTACAAACCGAACTGTACATATCCGAGTGGATCATGGCTTTTAGCCTTCTTGTGTCTGATACCTTGGTAGGTTTTTCAGCGCTACTTGCCGCTATAATATTTATGATGTTAAGCCTAGTTAAGTGTAACATTTCCAACGATTTTAATTAATCTATTTTATAAACTTTTTTATGTTCAACGCTAATTTTTAGATTTTCAACGTTCGTGTCAACGTCGATGGCGATCATTTGCGTATACTGCATCGTGCTGCCCAGATTGCGGATTCGATTGGTCAAGGGAAAATTTCACAGGTAATCCATAAAGCTCTATTAAATTGATGTTTTATGATATTTTGTAAGTACGTATGCCGTAAATACCTTACATGATTAAATACTTATTTTTCTCAAGGATCTCCTCTTCTTGGTTCGAGACGCAGCCGAGTCCGGGGTGAAAGGCCAAGAATTTTTGGATCAACTTTGGGTAAAAAAACACTCAGATTTCAATACCACCTTTTAGTCGCAAAATTCTGCTTCGAACGAACTAGCCGACGCCCGGGACTCGCTGAAAAATCTGATCGGCAAAATCGGATGCATTTTAACGCCGCCTCCAACCAGAAAGACCCAGTCTGCAAATGGATTGTTCCGAATTCAAGGTATTTCTATGGTCGGTAAGACAAGTGTTATATTGAAAATTGAAGGCAAAGAGGATCAGCTTTTTATCGAGTCGCTCGTCGACACGATTCATTATATTAAAAATAATGGGCGAGATGGATCAGCGCTTGCCGTGACTGACATTGAGTTTTGGAAGGTATGTTTTATGCAACTATCAAAGCGTAACTGAAAATACCTTTAGAATACCGCAAAACTACTTGAAGACTCGGTGCAAGATGTTGCTCGAGCCTCAGCGGCGCGCGAAGCCGTCTTCATCGAAAATGCGTGCAACGAGGTTTTTACAAAATTGAATATCGATCAGACGGTAGGCTCCTGGCGTTCAAGATCTTAAAGTATAGCAAATTCAGGAGGCTGCAAGGTGCACGAATCTCTCCAGATATTACCATGCGAAGGATCACGAAGCTAGTAAAATTATTGGGGCAAAATATCCGGCAGATATTGCAACGCAGATTCATCAAGGCGTGCGCACGCGGTTAGAGGTTTGTAACTGATAAATTATATATTTAATAAAATTCAATTAACGATTGTAAATTACACATTTCAGGCTGACTTCAATAATATGGTCCAACTTATTCAAAAAGAAGATGAGGCCAAGCGGAGAAAGCAATTTATCGACGCCGGACTTCGAGCCGGCCGGACCGAAATTTCTAAGGTATTTTTTCTTATCGTTTTCTAATTCTCAACTTTTTAATTGCCGCAATCTATTTTAGTTGAGCACGATCCGCGAAGGGCGCGACTTCTATCTAAAAAATCGGCTTGCTGAACTTGCCCAAAATGATGTAGAACTAGAGTTGCTACTCCGGGTGCGGAAAAACCTAAATTTTGTGCAAACGATTAATTTTAGGGGATACTGAAAGCCGAGCTGGCATTTTGCTCAAAAACCGATATCAAGCACCACGTTGCGGATGAGTGCAAAATTTTTAGGAATATTTTGAGCAAGGTATACGGTACTGGATCAATAGAAATTGTATTTTGTTTAGATCCCGATCACAGAGACGCTGACATTCGATGGTCATGCCGACAGGATTGATTTTCATGTAAAGTCGGTGCTCGAGGAAATTGGCTTCCTGTATGATTTGGAGATCATTGGCGAGGAGGAATTCAAGAAGGTTGAGGAAACGTGCCGTGCCCAATTGCAGGTATAGTTTAGATATTTTACGCAGGGTAGTAGTGTAGAAACCTATACACATCGATTAACAATTCCAGATGACCCTCGAAGCGGCCGTCAGAAATCATGAAAATCTTCAGAAGAAGCAACGCCAAATGCAACCAAAAATCGATAATGGTGTAGTAGCAAGTCCCAAACCGACAGTTATGGAATCTGAAAGATCTACCGCAAACCCCGATACCCAAGTCGCGAATAATGCTCGAAACCTCTCACCCGAGACGGAGGCGATAGCACAAGAACTCGACGACTGGCAGGTCATTTCAAGAAGGGGAAAACTGGCTGAATCTCTACCCCCTGTGCCCAAGCGAGCGGCCATCGAGGCCGAAACCCCACCTCAAAAGATTCTAACGCCGAACTCGATCAAAATTGAAGGACAAGTTCCGAAGCCAGCGGACGCGAAACCCGTAAACGTCAGCTACAGTAGTGCACTACGAAATACAAACAGTACCCCGCTTTCATCACGAATTGTCGAAACATCAGGATCAGCTACCAGGGAGAACATTGCCCCGGAAGTTCAAATACTGCGAAAGAAACTCGAGGCGGCGGAGAAAGAGAAGGAGAGAATCGAACGGAAAGATCAGGATAAATTCCTGGAGATTACTGGCTTGAAGAAGCAGCTCGCAGATGCGCAGCTGATTTTCGATGAGTTGCCAAAGTTTCGCGATCTGGTCGTCAAGCTAGTTGAGGTGAGGAAAGGCTTGATTTTATGATCTGTTGACGTTAAAATTGAACATTAATTATCGATGAATTCCAGGACTACAATCGTCACCCAAGAATTCTTGATGAGGTGCGCCGGGAAAAGCTGCGGGTCGACATGGTGCGTCTGCTGAGGTGTGACCAGCATAATGAGGGTCTACCTCACTACAAGAATCTGCAACAGGAACGAGAAAATGTAGCCTCACATACCTTTCAAGTGGTCACCGGGCATGTAATGGTAAGTCCGGGAAGTTATATGCCACGAATCCCGCATGTAATGACTGAATATACTACCACACCGTAGTCGCGACGAGGTACGCGGACGTATGCGCGCTCCGCAGAATTTAGCAATATCGTACAAGAAATTGAAACCCTCATATATTTTTTGGGAAAATTAATATTCGGATACTTTTTTTTCAGAAACCAGTGAAGCTCATGTTCTCCGACATTGACAAAGTCGTGAAAGAATGTGGCCGTATGAGCGTCGTGCTCCGTATCGACAACGAGCTCAACCTGGCCCTACAGGAAATCCTTGGCTATATGACGGACGGGATTGTGACGTATTTACCAAACATCAAGGAGAGGATCCGACGCGCAGACGTAAGTAGAAATCGTTAAAAATCTATTCAATCATTCAGGCGAATTTCGCAAAAGAGCGCCTGCCCTTCTACGTCGAGCTATCCGTCAGCCAGTCGCTGCAGAACAACGTTGACATGTTTTATATGGAGCACGGGGAAAAGGAGTGGTTGTATAGCGAAGAGGTACGCAGATGCCGTTGAAGCGCTAACTTCGATTTTAGGCAAAAATTAGCGCTGAGGATCGTGACTTGTTGATGACGTTGCGAGGCGCGCCAGAGGTTGATCAGTACGCCGTCTACAACTATATTTATAGTGTTATGAGACGCAAGGTACGCCACAGAAATCAAGACCGAGGCATGGTCGTTAACTTAGTTTTAGGCCTAGGCTTGGGGTTAAGCTTAGGCTTGGGCTTAGGTTTACTGTAAAGTGTTTTTACTCAGGCTGGCGTTTTGGAATGGGACCAAGTCTATCTTGTTCAGAATTTTTTGCTGATTCCGAATCCGTTTTCCAAATTTGCTGCGGACTTTGCGTTGAAAAGTCATTTCAGGTCTAAATTAAGCTTAAAAACGGCATAAATTCGGATGCTGGCCCACTATTCCCTGTATGGACCCAGGTATTGCTGTGACCCTTCTCTACTATTCCGAAGCCCCCTGCCCAGTTGGTACCATGGTGCATTGGCAAGGTGTTCGCTTGCCAAGCACAGGGCTGCGGTTCGAACCCCGCCCTGCACAATTTGTTTTGCTTTTTGCACAAAAACAGATAATTTTTTGCATAAAATCGTGATTTTATCTCAAAACCGTTACCGACTCAGTTTTAACGTTGAAGATGAAGACAACTTAAAAATAACGCGAAAAAATCTAGATTTTGGCACTTTTTATAGTATAAATGTCAAATAACTTTTTAAATAAAAGTCGGCAGCAGATTTGGAAATCAGATTCGGAATCAGCGCAAAATTCTGCACAAGATAGTCTTGGTCCCATCCCAAAACGCCAGCCTGACAAGGGAAGGGCACGTGGACGAAGTGGAATTTCGGAAAACGCTCGCGGCTACCCCCGGGTAATCGACTATGGGGAACACGATGCCGTTGTCCGATTTTCCTGCGGAGGCCTGTGGACAGAGATACAGCACTTCCGGAAAATGCTGATTTGCATGCGAAAAATTAGAATCCGGGGAACCTTTATTAGGCTCCCTCATCAGTATGGAATCACCGGTTGAATGGCCGATTGGTAAGCAACTCGCTTGATAGGATGCTGACGAGGGTACGGACCCTCTCACGATTTTTTCGTTTTGCTTTTTGACTGGAAGTTTTTGCACAAGTCCAGATTTTCCGTGACGTGGCTCCGACAAAAATTTTTTATGCAATGAATACCATAGATTTAGCTATCCCACAAAAAATTGGAAATGAAAAAATAATCACTAGAATGGGCAGCCATCCCCCAATCAGGCGAAAATTTGATAAAGTTTGTGAAAATATTTTGGATTTGGTTACTCTGCGATAACGTATTAATTAACAATTTGGAGTTATCGCGGCAAAAATAGCAATAAAAACGTGCAAACACTGCCCGTCAAAAAGCAAAACGAAAAAATCGTGAGAGGGTCCGTACCCTCGTCAGCATCCTATCAAGCGAGTTGCTTACCAATCGGCCATTCAACCGGTGATTCCATACTGATGAGGGAGCCTAATAAAGGTTCCCCGGATTCTAATTTTTCGCATGCAAATCAGCATTTTCCGGAAGTGCTGTATCTCTGTCCACAGGCCTCCGCAGGAAAATCGGACAACGGCATCGTGTTCCCCATAGTCGATTACCCGGGGGTAGCCGCGAGCGTTTTCCGAAATTCCACTTCGTCCACGTGCCCTTCCCTTGTGAGTAAAAACACTTTACAGTTAGGCTTAGACTTATACGATTTCGATTTTGTTCTGCCAAGCCTAAAAGTTAGTCATTCCTTACAGGTACTCGGATATCCCAACGAATATCCACTTGTCGTAGCATCAAGGCTATGCCACGAATTCCGCAAAACGATCTACGACAACTTCCGCGAGGCCTTCGCGAAGAAGGGCGAATTTTACGAAAAGGAACTCGGCACCGTGCTCGACTTGTGTCTCATCTGCCGATGGGCCGCCCAGCTGGCTACAGTGTACAAGGCAAGTATTCCGCGAAACCGATCAATTCCAATTTTAGGAGCGCGGCGAGTGCCAGTACCTCAGCGACGTGTTCGACTACGTGACGGCCGGGCTCGACCCGACAAAGGAGAATGCGGATTGGACAAAACTCGTGCGGAAGGCCATCGCCAGGGGTGACAACAGCTATCGGTTCATTGGGTTCTCACTTGGCTACTATCTGGACAAGGCGGTCGGGGAGTTGAAGGAGCTGATCATCGCAAGGATTAACCCTGGAAGTACCAAGTCGAGGAAGAAGACTTTGATCAACTGACTTTATTGCCATTGTTGAATCTTGTAAATAAATATAAATGAAAAAGTCTCAGATATATCTAACGCGAGATAAGCGAGAGAAAGGGAACAGTGAGAGAGAGAGCGAGAAAGATAGATAGAAGAGAGAGAGAGAGAGAGAGAGAGATACTCAATCGTCTTCCGATCGCCGAAGTATGCTCAACCAATCGCGCAGCCGGGACATTTGTCGACCTATTGTTCGTTTCCTTACATATTCCGTCTGCTAAGGAATGAAGACTGGGTTTCCTTGCATTGCATTGCTTGCATTCCGAGGTGTGTTGGGTCGGCTTTAGGATTAGGACAAGTGGAAGGCTGTTGATCAATTCGAAGCCTTTGGATCGGTTACCGTAGTGGAGGCACGAGGATCTCGATTCCTGGTGGTTGTATTTAATACTGGGGATGCTGAAAACAAGTCACTCTAACCCACCTTTGTTACAACAGGATCGTATTCTCTTGCGCAATCAAATTGCACGCGCGTGCGTTGCGTGCCGCAAACACGGTCGATTCCACACGACCATGTTTCACTGGTCGTGAGGGTTTTTCGGATTTTTTTTTTTATTTTCGATGGTACATATTCCGGACTTAGCTTGCCGCTGCAGGGCGATCTCCACATTGCCTCGACCTAAAAATCGCACGGTGACGAAACCGCTGTAAAGCTTTCCCCTATCCTGTCCCACGCAGTTCGCAAGCTTTGCTTTTTCAGGTTTTCAAAAGTTCTCGCTAAAAAGGATGGTCTGATTCAACACCTCTGCTCGCTACCCAGAATGTTTACCCTCCTCCTCGGCGACCTTTCGTAACCCCCCCCCCCCACGCTCGGTTGCCCTATCCAAAAAACCTGTACTAGGAAACTTCTTTATTTCAGCGCTTCTACGTTACTTGGGAGATGATCTTTAAGACCGGCGGACGATGGGTTTTCTTGCCGTTCGAACTCTTCAGGCAGTTTTGGAGGTGATTGCATCATTTTATAAATCCTTAGCATCCGTAAAAATGCACATGACGCTTTAATTTATGCATTTTTTTTGATCTCAACAGAATTAAATTTAGATCGATGTCAACAATCGCTAGAGAGCAAAAGTACGCCCGGAAAAGCTGATGCTATCGAACGAACACAACGGCTTTACATGCAAATACTCGCCAACCCGCTCCGGCCATCACCTCTCTCGCCAGATTTCTGGATACTTTCTGGATTACAATTATATCATATTCCACCCAATGATTTTCAAAACTAATGGAAAATACGACTGTTTCCCATGTATTCTCGTCAAGCTTTTCAAGAAGTATGATATTTTTTCGACCTTGATTTGTTTTAAGAGCCAGGGAACAGCTGAAGAAAAACGAGGCTGCTGTTCAAAAGTATTGATTGATTTTTCTAGCCCGGAATAAATATTTCTTCTTCTTTCCAATATATATTTTACGCCCCCGAAAACGAGAAATTCACGCATACATGCATTATGTTTTGTCTAAAAAATTGGAAAACGGATTGGTCAGGATTCTTTCCGGAAATAGCGCCATTTCCCCGCTTTCTCCTCTAGCTATTTCCGGCTATGATCTTCAATTCAAACGGGAAATTCGGATGTTTTCCCTGCGTATTTGTGAGGTTATTTTGGAAGTGAGTATCTGAAATTTTTGGGTGATTCATAAAAATTCAGCGCTCGTGACGAAAAGAAGAAGAGCAAGAAGTACAACAAGCAGATGAGCAGTCAGAGGAGGAGCTCGAAAATGTCACTTACCAGGGGGAATAAATAGTCGTATTGCTGATCTCCCCCTGCCTCTTATCTTTCTCTCGCGATTGTCCGCCCATGTCCTCGGTAGTATAGTGGTTAGTATCCGCGTCTGTCACATGCGAGACCCGGGTTCAATTCCCGGCCGGGGAGAAATTTTTTGCTTTTTGGGGAATTGAGCGGAAAACATTCGGAGGCGATCAGGAAATACTTGTTTTTGCTGATTTGAATTTTTTTTAGTGGCTTCAATCTTCAATTTCTTGTCGAGTTTAGGATTTTGAGATTGAGGCCGACCATTTTTTAATTTGCCGCCTTTCCGACTTCTTTAATTTCAACCCAATTCCCTCGTGAGGCCTATTGGGTCAGTCTCCCGCCAAAAAAAGCCGAGCTCTCCCCCTGGGATCGGGCTCGCGCCACCGGGGGCATCCAATCAGTTTTCCTATCCCCTCCAGGGATAGTCGACGGTGCGCGTGTGTGCGTCTCCCCAAAATGTTTGGAGAGATTTCCGGGAGGAAAACGCTTTAGTCGCTGGAAGAGGTGGAGGCGGAGCCAGAGCGGGAGACGGAGCACGAGAAGTGAGCCTGAGCAACGAGGGTCGGTCCGGTCTCGTTCGTCACCCTGCTGCCCCTCTATCTTCCCCTCCTCCTAATTGTTGCCCCTTTCCACGGTGTCGATCTTGCCGTCCGTGCGCCGGCGCCATGCTACTGTACCTTGTCGTCGGGCTATCGATTTTGGGCCTTGGGCAGGGGGCCAGCGATGATATTAATGTGAAGATTGAAAGGCATTTTCCGTGCTCCGCCGGAACAGGTTTGTGGATTTTCAGATGGCAAAAATCGAGTCCTACTGAAAATGCTTATGGTTTCTTGTATGATTCTTCCTTTTTTATAGATTTAATTTACTCTGTTTTTTCCTAAAATTTCTTCTTATTAAAAAGCTTCGATCGATATTAAATCGATTTTCAACTGATTTTAAAGCTTCTTTTTTGAACCCCTCTTTTTAAATTTTGCAAATTTTTGAGTGCTATTCTTATCCTACCAGAAAATAGATAATTAAGATACTACTTTCCCTACTCCCGGTTGTATAGGTGCCTTTTATTTTTTACGAAACTAATGTAACAATTAATAAACATTGCTTTTTGAGCACCAGCTTTGATCTTGTTTTTTTTTAAAACAGTTCTATGTTTCATTTTTGCGATAACCAATAAATTCAATTAGTCATGCTCTCCGATATGCCCTTTTTGCCAAATGCCCTGATATCACGATCCACCGGCTTTTGTGTCTGGCTCAGAAGTGAAGGTGGTTTGAGGGGGGTAGGTGGATGGCGGGGAGCCTTGGCCGGCCTATAGAGATCCAGTTCTTCCACAATCAACCCCACACGTAATCGATTGTCTCACCTCTTCACGCTCCTCATTCACGCTCTATCATTCACCGGCGCCAGGATATTGATCCTTGCGGCGCGTGGGAGATCATTAAAACTCGGTCAAAAATATACTCAAAAAATATAATAAAAATATATGATCAGCTGATTTCAGATTTGATTCGTACGCACCAAAATCTTATAATACGCTAAGGAACATTTAGAACCGTGTGGAACGCCGTTTCCTCTTTAAAAAAACCGCCCACACCTTGCTAGTTTTGCAAGGGATTGAATTTTGCCTATACCTATGGTACCTTGTTATCGCTTAAAATACCGACAGACCGCAAAAACCAAAAAGCCAATTCCCTGAAAATCAAGATTACGGTATGAAAAACCTTCCAGGACCGAACAAGGAAAACCTCCGGATAAAGTTCCCCTCGTACAAAACGACCGGGGTCAAATTCATCGAGGAGACCAACACCGATGGCAACAAGTGTTTCCGGATGGCTGGAGGAAAGGTGGAGGTAAGTAATGCGCTATCACTTTTGCATCTCTTTATATTAGCCGCCACTTTAATGTTTATATTCTAGGTGTACGCGCCTGGAATGGATGGGCGCAAATCGTACTACGTCCACCTCGAGACCAGGATCGGAATTCACGGAAAGCCCGAGCGATGCGTGAATGCTGATGCGAATGGCTGTGGTGGTATCGGATCTTGGTGAGTTCAGTAGGGATTCAACGAGAAGGGAGAGAGAGAGAGGGAGAGAGAGGGAGAGAGAGAAAGAGAGAAAGAGAGAGAGAGAGAGAGAGAGAGAGAGAGCGAGATAGAGATATTATGATTATCGAAATAACCTCGTAAATATTCAGTGTCCACTGCGACATTTGCCACCAGATGGGCGGCAACCTGAAGAACTTTGTCCAGATCTTCCAGGGCAACAAGCTGGCCCAGTGCTCCGCTGAGGTGGGCCTTTACGTAAAAAAAAACTATAAAGTGTTCAGTCTCTGGATTTAATATACCTAAAAAGTCTCTTCCAGGGCCTCCCACCCGGCGCCTACACCGATCTCTCGCTTCGCGTCTGCCTGCCTACCAAAAATGAGCTGTTGCCCTTCCTTGACAAGGTAAGGATTCAAATTTTTCAACGGATGTCTCGGGATTCAGCTTCAAAAATTGCTATAATATTATTTCCAGAACTCTGCGCGCGCCGAGCAACTCTGGGAGCTGTTCGTCTCCAGCCGAGCCCGATCCGGGGTAGGAAAACATTGAAAAAAATATCAAAATGAATTCAGGAAATTCCGCTCGTCATTGCCGCGCGTCTTTTCGATCGCCCGATCAACAACTTGGACCACAAGGTGAGGACGAGCTTTGTAAATGTCTTTTTGCACCTTTAACTCGTCGCGTGTTGCACTGCGGACTGTTTCTTGACGGCTTTAGTAAATTTATTGGTTCTCGTATCCATCCCTATTTCATCCCATTTTTTCTAGGTCCTAAACGACCTCCTTCACGGCTCGAAGGCCGGCATGGTCGGCTGCCACTGGATCTACGCCACCGTTTCACAGAGTTAACTTTTGAACTGTTTGTCTGTAAAAAACCTACCGTAATCAATCCGCGCGTGTGATCTGTTTGTACATTTGTATCCTAACCACGCATTTCTCACCGTTTTTCCTCCTTTCAATCCTTCCATTTTTTTCCCGGAAATGCCCCCAAATTCAGTCGATTCGGGTGATTTTTTGTGAATTTTTCTCCTCTTTCCGACACTTGTTTTGGTTGTGTTTAATTGAGTGGTGCTCTCCTCGCAATGATAAAGAAAATTTCAAATAGTCGAATTTTTAATTTTATAAACAGGAAAACAAGTTTTCAGTGACCAGAAACTGGGCACAGACCATTGAGAACAAGCTATTCGGGGAATGAACTCTTCAGAAATATTGTTTACGATTAGGTGGAGTGTTTTGTCTCTTGGTGCCCCTCGGAGTGCCGCGAATTCCGGCAATCGAACCGTGCCACCATTGTCGTCGCGGTTCGGCCAGGCTGTCAAAACAAGAATCGCTCGGCCGATCAGCGGTTGGTGACGTGGAGCGGCGCGTAGTGGACATTGTCAAAATTCGGACATTTCTGGGAAATTTTTACGATTTTTTGGCACAAAATATTGTAGGATTTCTTAGGGTTCACCCCTTACGCTTTGAATCATATAAAATGCAAAAAATAGTTTAAGCACTATATCTACAATTATTTGCGTTTTGTCTATCAAAGTTTAATGCAAAATAATGGGGGTTTTGGATATTTGGGCATGTTTCTTGCGACACTGAAGAAACCCTTTCCTACGTTCAACTGTTCGTTTTTCTTCTTTTCCTCCTTTTGTCAAACCTCCACCGGCTTCATCTTCTTTGCCCCGGAAATGATTGATGATCTATCGTTTTTAAGCGATCCCCCAACCCAAATATAGTCTCTCCCACCCCCAAGATGTCCCTCAAAACGCGGAACTCCCCGGTGACGCGCCCCAGCGATGGCTATCACCCGCTACTACGTCACAACAGGTGGACAGACCCGAGATGATAGATCCCGAAATCAAGAGAGAATCGGAGAAATTGAGAGCAGAAAATCAGGCGAAAAATACATTGTTCGGGATTCTCTTCACTCAACCACTCAAAAATTGATGCCCGGCTTTTGTGTGTGTCGAATTCGATTGCAGCCCGTGTGGGTTGCGAGTTTTTATGGTGGGGGAAAGGGTGAAAATTCGAGATTTCTCGCCGGGCGTTTTGTCAACCTCCCGCGCTGCCAGGACAACAATGTGTTGTTGAGGATTACGAGAAAAAACCGGAAAAAGTTTGCTGCAGTGCAAAACCTAACCACGATAACTTGAAATCCCTTAATTAAACCTTTATAAAAATCTTCGCAACCCGCCAAATGAAAGAAATGTGACCCTATATCACAAAAAACACGCATGTTTAAGACCTGATCTTGGGGCAGAAGATACATACAAAAATTACTAGCTTAAATAGCTTAATACACCTAGATGCAAATTTTTACAACTTTGGCGGCGTCTTCATGTCGACGTTCGTGCCCTCGATAATGAATGGATAGCGCTCGCGGGCCATTTGGCGAACGACTTGTTGCGCTGGGCCACCGTCGAAGGTCTGAAAACATATATCATCCTTTAAAGGGTTATCAAAAGCATAAAGGAAGTAAACTGGTGCTTTGCAAGTCGTCAATTTTGTTTAGAATTAATTAATTCTTAAAAACGATTAGCCGATCTCATTTAATTACTTTTAAAAAGCATAAAGCGGAAAATTTTGTTTTACATGTCCCTTAAAAGCCTTACCTTTCTCAAAAACGCAATCGTCATCTCAACAGCCGCCTCCCCGGAAAGATGCGGATCGACTTCGCCGGATAGTCGAAACTTTTTCGACAGGAATTGATTCCGGACCAGCGTTGAGAAATCGGAAAACCCTTGATGTGTCGTGCCCCTAGATTCGAATTTCCGAACTATTTCAGTAAGCACTCACAGGTAAGTAAATAATGTCCGCTCGCATCGATCAACCTTCAGCATCTTTTCGATATTTCGCCGCCATTGCCAGGTGCCCGAATTGAGGAACAGGGTCGGTTGGGTGAATCTGAAAATAGAAAAATTTATAGGCAAGCTAGCAGAAGCCATACGGGAATTTCATCACCCGTTCAAAATATCCCCATTTCCGAACCAACCTCTCATACATTTGCTCCTCAATCGGCATCATCCACCCATCGTATACAACGGCCGCCTAGAGTAGCCGCGAATTAGCTTTTTCCCTCCACTTTAATCACCTGGAAATCCGTGGAAAAAGCCGTTGCGCCTAATGCCGTCGCTCCACCAAACGAATGGCCCACGGCGGCCGCTCGCGAGAGGTCAAGACGGCCCTAAAAACGTGGAAATTAGGACATGGAAAAAGCGCATTGCAGTAGCCCTCAGTGGTCGCAACGCACGGCCGGCCTTTCAAAGCGCGCATGAGCTTTAAAAGCTACCAAAAACACTCCCAGAACTTCATTACATAAATTTTTTTCTACAAAAACGTGCAAAATGTTTTCCTCCATCGATCTGTCGTGGCGATTTTTAAAATACGGCTAGGGGGAAAAGTTATGATCGAAAAAGACAAAAATCCTTAACATTTTCGATGACGATATTTGTTACTCTGTAAAAAACTCTCCCAGCGGTTGATTATCTAACTTTATTATACCAAAATGTGCAGAATTATTTTCTCTATCGAACTAGCGCGGCGATTTTGTAAATACGGTCAGGGGAAAAAGTTATTAGCGAAAGAACAGCGGCCCTCTTAACATTTTTGGGGGGCGGGGGAAACCCCTCTCGTGCGCGCTTTCCCATAGATCTGAAACGCCGTGAACGGAAGAGGCCTAGAAAATTAGAGGTACCTCGACCCATTGCGCCATCAAACCCCCAAAAAGCAAAAAAATTCTCCCCGGCCGGGAATTGAACCCGGGTCTCGCATGTGACAGACGCGGATACTCACCACTATACTACCGAGGACACGGGGGATAGTTGGGGAGAGGGGGCCATAAAGTGAGGGTCGGCAAGTGCCCGGCGCACGGGGGAAGAAAATGATTGACACACGATACAGTGCGACTTGCGGTTAGCGGCAAAACACTTTTAATGGCACTTTTTAATAGCATAAGCGACTAATACAATTTTTAGCCACTTTGCGCCCAATTAACAGCGCTAATAGTTTTCCTCACCTTAAATTGCCTCCAATTAAAATGTTCTCCAATGACGACTCGACTAGACTTTTCGCCTCTCGCTCCGATCAGGCCCAAATTCAGCTCCTCGAGCACGTGCAGAGCCTTCACCATTTCGGAGACCCGCTTGTGCAACTGGATTTTGAGCATTACGTTTGTTTAACGTAAAAATTATTTTAATATGCGCCCCAAAAGTATATAAGTTAGGAAATCGCTATTGCTTACTTGTGGTACTCGCACTTTCATCTCGTCCTCACCGGGCTTCAACTGTCTCATCGGCAGCTCCTTTTCTTTAAATCTACCATCCAGCATATCCGGAATCAGCTTATACGTCCAGCAAGCCGAGTAGTCCCTTAAAAATTGGGATATACCTATTTTCTTGATTTTGAGAACCACTAAAAACGTCCTAAAGCTTACCTATGCTCCACTGCTGCCACCACAAATCCATAGCTCGCCAACGAAGCGCAATACGTTGAGTACCTTAAATAGAACTGGTATTTCCCCTGAAAAGGTCGATTTACATAAATCTAGCTCCAGAGAGCCCGTGAGAAAAGACGACGACCGGAAAAGTGGGGCTGGAGAAGGACTGCATGGAGAGTGAGGTGGGGAACTTTTTCTGAAAAAAAATAGATAGATAGGGATTATCTTTCTTAGGATTACCTTAAATCCCGGCTCTTCTGTAAAAACAAAGCCGTCCATGGAATAGGACGAGGCGACGCTGGTGCTCGCTTGCTTACTCCCGGAAAGGGGGCGCTCCATAAGGGCCGGCATTCTAAAACAAAAGGCTTTTTGTAAATTCGAGGTGATGAGGAGCGTGTTCAAGTACGTTATCGCGGGCAGTTTCTCACCTCTTTTCTCCGATCAGCCAATCGGAGACGAACTGTAACCTCCACGAGGGTGTCTTCATGTAAGTTGCCAATCCTTGTAGGTATTCTTTCCTTGGAATCCACGGCGCATATTCCTCGTCTTTGATGTTTTCGTCGAGATCCTGGAATTAGGGTGTAATATGATACTTTTTTAGGATTCAACTAGCTATAAATGTGTAGTTTGTATGCAAAAATCACCATAGCGCCTTTTTAAGCTAACCAATAACTCAAAATATCATGCCAATAGAATTTCAGCCGGCTTTTTATGATATCAAGTTTTCACGCATCCTGGGGTCATGGAAAAATCCCGGGTCATTAATGGATAGGTAACCTTTAAAGTGCCCCTTGATCCCATTACCACATCAACCTACTACGCCTTCACCATCAGAGATGAGGTCTAATGGGGCGTGCAAGCCCGTTTAATGACTTTTCCGATACACATAAATAGCCATAGGAGCACATCGCCAGAGGGGCCGTTGAGGGGGGCATTAGGGAGAAGCAGGAGGCTAGGGAACGGGCCCCCAAATTGGTGCCCATCACCATAAAATATGCACGTGCGGATGGGGGGAAGATGGGCTCGAGGCGGACACAAGAGAAATGGGGTGGTTGGGGTGAAATGTGGTACGGCAGTGGGTACTTTTTGGCAAAGAATACAAGAGTGTACAGCGACGCCCAGAACTGATACAAAAGACTCCATTTTTTTTACTGGAAGGGTGTCCGCTATATAAAAAGGAGAATTAAACTCGCGAAAAGAGATATCCAGCCCTTTTTAGAACATCATCAAAATCATTACTCCCAAAAAGCAAAAATTTCTCCCCGGCCGGGAATTGAACCCGGGTCTCGCATGTGACAGACGCGGATACTCACCACTATACTACCGAGGACACGGGAAGAGGGCGGCAAAGGGGCCTGATATCGCTGGTCACGCCGAAAAGGCGCATGAGAGCTACGTTCGGCAATATTGCGCAACGAAAATGTACGAAAAATGGCAGGGAATGTGTGGTTTATAATTTTTGATAAAAGCACTTACTTTATTATCGACCGGGTAGAATATCCGCATAAAAATCCCCGAATCCCCATTTGGCCCATCTTTCACCATCATATCTGCGCAGCCAACACTAGAAATTAAATTGTTATAAAAAGCATATTTTCTTGTACCTGTAACTGCCTTGCCCTAACAAGGGTAACACTCTGCTGTTGTAGCCACATGACGAGGCTACACCCATCTGGAAATAACGCTTAGAATAACGAATATATGTAATGAATCGAAGTTTGCGAAGAAACATGTGCTGTTGAGAAAGTCGGGGCTCGAAAACGGGTGATCGGCAACAAACTACAGGTGAGTGATTGGCCGGCCAGGGAAACATATGGCACTTTCAGGTAAACAATTCCCCAGTGAGGTTCAAAAGTTTCTTGGGAAACCTTTCGTAAGCATTATTACACGCCGGGTAAGTTAAAAACGGGCACGTGTAGAGGAAGTTTTTGGAAATGTCGTAGTATCGTTACGTAGGCCTCTGGATGCCTCCCCGACCAATATTAGCCGCGGTGATTATCGCTAAAAATGCCAAAACCGCAGTTATCTGTGGCCCATTCCGCGGGTTTCCATGACGACAAACGACAATTTTGGGTTAAAATAAATGGACAAGCGCTGTATCCATCCGCCAAACTAGGAAAAGTATAGTTGAAATGGACATTAGTGCCAGATTCGGTAAATTAAGGTCAAGATTTCAAAAATTGACGTTTATTAAGCTAAAATAGATTGTAAAGTATGTTTTTAAAAGTTGATGCCATAAATACAGCGTGTTGCAGCTGTAGTTAGAGTAGATTGTAATTCTTTTAAAACGTCCCCCTTTTGGAGAAAAAGTTAAATGGGATTTTCTGTCTTTCGTACAGAAAAAAATACATTTTTGCCTTTTCGGGCTGATAATACCAAAAATTCGATCCAAGCCACTAACCGTCGAGACGAATATATGCGCACGAGAGCAATTGAAGTGGGAGGTTGAAGCGGGGTAGTGTGGGGGGTGACCAAATTAATCATCAAAAATGCATTAATTTCGGCTGTGTACGGGGGGTGGAAAGGCTTTGCATAGCGAGGGGGGCTGTGCGCGGCAGCGCCACGAGCCGCCCAGAGTAGTGCCCCCCATTTGCGTTTTGGCCATGGTGTCCGGTTTCAATCGAAGAAACCGGAAAGGGGGCTCTCGGTTTTGGGATTCACATGGCACTAAATTTATGCGGAAACTCTGATAATACTTATCTGGGGATTTGCGCCGAAAGGCGATACGCCGAAAAATATACTTTTAAGGCTATAAATCGTTTTTCTTATGTTTTAAACCCTAACTTCCTCTAACAAATCCCAAAAACGATGAAACAGCCAGAAAACCAGCATAGCAAAACATCTATTCCAAGAAAATCCTCCTCCCAAATCCGCGTTCCCGAAAAGGATTGCTGACGCTGTGTGTTCTGCTGGCAGCCGGTCTGCCGAGACCCTCATAAATAAGTGAGGCGACTGGATTTAGGAGGGGAAATTCGGCGAAAATAAAGCTTCAACAGCCATCACGAGACCCGTTTGGCTTATTCCCAAAAAAAGCAAAAAGCTTCTCCCCGGCCGGGAATTGAACCCGGGTCTCGCATGTGACAGACGCGGATACTCACCACTATACTACCGAGGACACGAGGGAGGGTGGCTGTGGGGGGCTTTTGGGCTGGGGCAGAAGTGAACGAGTGACCGGGCTGGTGAGGGTGGAATTTGACTGGATCCAGGCGTGCCGGGATCTTGAAATGAAGTTTTTACAGGAAAAAGTTCAATACCGTCTTACTACTGAGGATGAAGGGCTATTAATAAGAATTATTGTAATAAATGACACAAAAATTACTGTACATTTTTTCAGAACTGATGCACACCAAGAACGTTAAAAACTATACAAATCTTGTTGTTTGAGAATCCGGCCCGATCATCCATTTTCAGGCAAATTACGCGCGCCAGAAGCGAATTTGGATAAATATCTTAACAACAAGTTAATTCAACAAAAAATGGACCAAAAAACTATTCAAGCAGAAATTCCAAAACCGTCATCGCTTTTCAGGAACGACAAAACATTCGCGAAAACAATTTAGAGGGTGCGTGGTGGTGCTACTCGCCGTTGTGTGTGGGTCGCGGACCCTAATCGAAGGTCGGGGGTGGGGATGGGTGGGACGGGACGGCCAGAAGGTGCGGCTTGTCCAGCTGACGACTAACACAATAACCGGACGGGGGGATGGGGAGAAGGAGAAGGGAATGGAGACGGATCGGAGGCGGGGGGAGTAGCGGATATGTCTGAAGAAGAGGAGGATGAGCTGCTGTCATCTGCATACATGGTGGATGGGATCGGCAGCTGATGCTGAAGGGCCGCGAGAATTCGATTTTGCTGCCACGAAGAGTATGCTTTGCAGAGCTTCAAGCCGAAATAACCTCGTGTCGAAATTGATTTATAAGATACTAGCATAAACGGGAGGGGGACTAATACGCCGACTAATACTATTATAACCAAATAGCTAATTTTGCGATGTTCCCACGGCTGTTAATACATCTCATGCAGGCCCGTACGAGGGGGCACCGGAGGTGCCCCCCGAAATCAGTCGAGGTCCGAAAAGTTCATAGGGGGACCCTTATGATTTTTTCGCAAAATTTTTCTGCCTGCGGCGCTGTTATCACTGTTTCGAAACGATTTTTACTTCTAAAACCTATTTTTCTAAAAATTTTTGCCTGCGGCGTTCGTTTTCATTAGTGCACCATTTTTGCTGAACAAAATTTCGCTTGCGCGCGCCGTTTCCGATGTGTTTTCACACGAATTTAAGCGTTAGAAACGCGGTTTTTTTTAAATTTTTCGCCGGCGGCGCTGTTATTGTCGCTTTTTCGAATGTTTTGAAAGTCGCGACCGGGGAGGTCGCCAAAATTTTGGGTGGGTGCCCGAAATCTCGGCTCCTGTACGGGCCTGATCTCATGATAAGTACCTGACACGAGATTCATCATGATTTTCAAAGTGTGATGTTATCCCCTCAATCAGTTGCTATTTATCATTATAGATTTATGGTTTATTATTATATCAAGCCATCCCAGAAAATGCCATCGTTCGGACAGTACAAAATTTGCTAAATTCCCTCTGAAAATCTACTGATAGAAAGGGCTCGAAACCTTGTATTGCGCGTAGTATCGCGGTATTAAAGGCCTAAAACCCAAGACCAAAAAGATAACCCACCCTCCCTTTCAAACCCATCATTTTCCATGACTTTTAGTGAGATCGAGGGCCAACCATTGTCCCCGGGGAGGTCGAGCGCCATTTCGGGTGGGCGCGAGTGGCTTTTGGGTCTTCCCTTTGTTCCGAGAGGCTCCTATACCAGATCCGACGGCCAGCCAGAACCCCTTGGGACCATCAAAATACGGGCCTTTCAGGGGTGGACGGAAGGAAAAGTGAGATCCTATACATAGAGAGTGAGCTTGAACTTTCGGGGGTTGAAAAAGTGGGTAAATGACGTTGGGACCTTAGGAACTCGATGTTTTTGTTATTAGTAAAGTCTCGTACGTAGGCCTGTTTTGATGAAATCAGAAATAGGAAGTACTTTCGGAAGGCAATATAGGTGAAGTGAAAAAGGGGCCCTTATTGAAAGCATCCATCACTACTGACGAAGCCAATCAAATGGCCCGATAGAGCGCGGCTAATCCTGGCCAAATCTGGCAATATACAACGGCTCTGTTTACAAGGACGTGAAAAAAGTTATTTTTAGGACAACTGAACGAATAGGTATCGATTTTTATAGACACCGTCAGATCTATCTAGAAATTTAAAGTGCTAGAAGCTAAGAAAAACGAGTTCTGCTCGATCTTTTTCGACTTTACAGGTTAATGATTAAAAGGTGAAGCAAAAAAATCTAGCGGCGTAAATCGTCCAGCTCCCCCAAGCAGAGAGGTGGCTGGCCCCCCTCGAGAGTGGGTGTGTGCCTCGTCTGAATTATTGATGCCGACGACTTGTTTTTGGGGCGGAGAAGTGTGGATGGAGAAGGAGCAGTAGGAGCGGAAGCCAGCGAAAAGGAGACGAAGATGCCTTCCGATTTATACCTCTTTTCTTTGGGCTTGGGGTGCAGCTTCGATCGGTTCCTGCTCCGCCTCCACTACTCCACACTCACACTACACACAAATTTGATTGATGCTGGAATTGGGGGGAGAAGGATCGGGATCCTTGCGCGAGGCTTTGTTCGGGTGAGAATGAGCTTCGGGAGACTTACGGGAACAAAGGGCTGGGATGTCAACTTTTTAGGAGTGGGATAGCTTAAAAGTAAAATTGGAAAAAAATTCGAATGCCTTAAAGGTATCAATACTAACTAAAAATCGAAAAACCATAAAAAAATACTCACTCTTAAGAATCGTTATAATCGTAGTGAAGCGACCATTGATAGATGTTTCTGATCTAAAAGTCCCACTCAAAGTGTTTCCAGGGGTTTTCGGAAAGATTTCGAGACCGAAAAGTTCCGTCATTTTGCCGAAAAGTTGTAACTTTTAAACGAGAGGACTTCGGCAATTTTTCAAAACGGATTTGGGATCAGCAAAAAAATCTGTACGAAGTGTGCTATCTCACGCATCTAAATTAATTCCACGGTGACCAGAAAAAAACGATTAAAGTGCCAGGTACAACAATAGCTCAAAAACGCAAAAACCCATAAAAAATAAGAAATGTCCCATCCCCCTCGGAAATCTCAAGATCCGCGATGGAATGTCCTTTGTCCGATGTATGTACGAGAAGCCCTCTTCTCGAGGTAGAGGCCCCAAAATGAGGGGTGGGCCCCCGTGGGCCATAAGTGGGGGCCCGCCGTGTCTCCCCACACGACATGTAGGCCCTGAGCCCCCGCGCTCATGATTATGCTTCTCCCCCTAGAGCCGACCTCGCCCCACCAAGCCCAAAAAACGAACCCAAATTGGCGGCTGTCCCCTGCGGCTTGTGTGTATGTGCCGACCGGAAGCCACAATGGCCGGAACGGATCCATCACCATCCACGGCCATTCAGCCCTCGTTATCTTGTCGCTGTGCTTCCGGCTCCTGGGGTAGAAGCTAAAATTGGTTTCCGAGACAACGGGGGAGGAAGCTGGAATTATTATGGCAGCTTAATGGAAAAAATATACAGAATTCGGCATCATTGGACGTTGCAGGACTTTTAAGGTAACTCGTGCATCTAACGAAGCAAAAAGCAAAACGCAAAAAATTTCGACCACGGGTGGGATTCGAACCCACGTACCCCCATTCCGGGGTATTCGATTTGGAGTCGAACGCCTTAACCACTCGGCCACCACGGTCGAATCCTAGGCGTACGAAGGCCGAATATCCACCAAAAACCATGAAAATTTTCATCCCAACGACCAGGCTGTCGATTTTCGCCCTAGCTCCTTTTTTGCTTTTTTCGACTTCTAGACAATTTAGTTTTGTGATTATTTATAATTTAAGGCGCGTTGAAATATCGTCATTTTCTATATTTTATATCCTGTCTAATCGGACATTAAATCGAAGGCTATTTATTCTGTCCATAGGCCATGCCAGTAAAAAAAGCACTCACACACGAATGGGAAGGGGATATTTCAATTTTTCTACAATTCTGTGGGATTAATACAGTATTCCAAACCTGACCACATATTCAATTTGATGCACACGTAGGGGTTTCGGAGAAACAAGAAAACGATGAGGGTATTTTTGAGGATTATTTGCGTTTCGAGATGCTGAACAACAGTCATAAAAAGACGGTCAGAGAGGAGGTGAAAGCGTTAAAAGACAGCTAGGGACGACATTAATTTATTTATAACATTGTTGTAATAATTTCTGATCAAAAATGGGATCTTTAGTGCTTAGAAAAATAGTCAAAAAAAATAAATGGATACCAGCCAAAACGTAATTGACCAGTATTGCAGGGGTAAGATGAGATTTTTCCATAGAAAAATGAGGGTAAGGGTTAAAGAAATCTCAAAAAATTATAGAGCTGAATTTTTGGAGTTTTTAGCTTCTCAAATTTGGATTGAATTCAGCTCTAAACCAAGATAAAAACAAAAACAACCGGATCAAGCGAAAACCAGCAAAAAACGAGGGTAAAAATGCGATTGCGAGAAGGTTATTCGGGTAAATCTCGATGGGAAGAGTTGGGTTTAAAAAAACCTTTTTTTAGGGGTTTAGTTAGCCCATCGAACGCTTCTGTTATGTGCGGCGTCGGCTGGTCGTGGCTTGGGCGCAACACCGCGAGCCTCGTCGGTTTTCGACTAAAAAAGTATAATGAAATTAGTATCAATATGTTAAGCTACCTCTTCGTTGATAAGTCTCAGCATATCCGAGTCGTGGCGACGGAAGGAGTGCTTGGAAATCGGCTAAAAGTGTTGAAATTAGGTTTAATCGAGCGATTAAAGGTATTTACTAGTCATACTACTATCGCGCATTATACAGGGTGTCTCAGGATTATCCGGACAAAACGAAAAAGTCAATTTTTCGCATTTACCGCTGTTTTCTGCTAACCTAATGTTTTTCATATGAGTTTTTGAGGCGTTTTCAATGTCCTGAGTAAAAAAAAATTTCCTCGAAGGCGCATTAATGGCTTCAAAATCAAGCGAAGAACGCAGTAATATTTTTCACCTCTTAAATACCACGAAACTTGGAGCAAAGATTCAAAAAGTGTTCCGACATTTTTCTAGGTAAGAGATGACGTTTTCTGGCAAAACGGACCTGTTTGCGCCAAGGTTTGTTCATGTCAATGATTATTTTCGAATTTAATATCGATTTCCTTTGCATTGCTGATAAGGGTTTTTCGAAGCTTGCTCGTGCTCAAGCTCCTCACAAATTAAAGTTAACTTTCTTTAAATTGCTTGTACATCATTGTTACTGTAGATATTTATCTTTTTATTATTTTAAAAGTATCTTATCCGGTTTTTTAGGGTTCCTCCGGGCCAAATCTGTTAAGGTAAATACGGCGGCGCGTTCCATTAATTCATCTTTTTTGCTTGCTGATTTTTTCCTAGAGTCAACTTAGCATTTTTGGGCCGGGCGGAGCATGGACTTATCATTGCCGACCTCTTCCTGTCGTTTTCTTCGTTATTCCGGCTATATTGAAGCTTTCTATAGCCGCGGAAACATCATGCGTTTCGAGCGTTTGACAGATGGGAGAAATTAGGTTCAAACTTCTTCGATTTTTTGCGAAGCTATATGTTGGAACCTCGGGCAATTTTCTTTTGCCAGCGCCTCAAACCTACCTCAAAGATTGATAAGAGCTACACGGTGTGCGCATAAAACACGATAAAAATAGGAAGAAATGGCATTGAAAGTTTGTCCGGATAATCCTGAGACACCCTGTACATATACAAATTGATATATTCGATTCATTAAGGTATCTTCGATTTCGAAGCCTACCTTCATCCTGGCGTCCTCCACATAGAGATACACGATTCCGAGTAGAATGACGACAGATACAACGGCCAAAACCGAAGCGACTACGGTAGCCCAGTGGGTGGGCTTCTCCTAAAAATCCTTTTAATACCTAGGTTATGAAGCTTACCGCTGCTTCCTTTGGATCGCATGGAATCGCAAGACAGCCTAGAACCCCTTCGCCAACATCAGCCTCGCCGGCTTTCTCCAACCAAGCTCCAAGCCATTCCTCCGCGCACACGCATTGCCAACGGTTTTCTGGAATTTCAGTAATATTATCCATTAACTGACGCACTTAAGGGTATCGGTATGTCGGTATATTTTAAAGAAACCTGTCAGATCAATCGCTTGTAAAACATCGAGATCAATCTGGTCAAACGTTCCCTTCGGCAAATGGGTCAAACGGTTGTCGTGGAGGAAAAGACGTTGAAGCTTTAGACCGTGGAAAGCGTTAGAATCGACCTGTAATCGGATCGGTTATAAGCTTTTTAGGCCGAAAATAGGGTCTATTAATATTGTATAACTCACGTGACTGATGCGATTGTGGTCAGCAGCCAGGGTATGTAGCGCTGGCGGTAGATCGTTGCCCTTCAAGGCCTCCAGCCGATTGCCCGAGAGGATCAGGACGTTGAGGAGGCGCAGCGGCGACAATAGCGATTGGCCTTCGGTCGTCAGAGCTAATAATAGGGATAAGGGTTGATAGATTATATCTCGTCAATAGGTACATCCGGACTTTAATCCTTCACATCAGCAAAAATTCTTGATATTTTGAGCCAAACTCACTGGTAATTTGGTTATTCTGAAGCGCCAACGTCTTCAAGGAGACGAGATTCTTGAAAGCCCCAGCGGCCACCACCGAGATGTTGTTTGAAGCCTAAATTTTTGTTATATAGGTATCGCATTACTTTTTTCATACCAAAGAAAGAGTCTCCAGCCTCGGAGACCCGGAAAGACCCCTCAAATCCGACTCGTCGATCTGCGCCAACGAATTCCGGTCCATAGAGAGGTAGTTGAGGTTCCGCAGGTCGCGAATCGAGACGTTCTTCAAGTTCTGCAGCGAGTTGTTGTTGAGGATGAGCTTTTCGAGCTTGTCGAAGCTCTGCAGATCGATTGAGGTCAGCTGATTTCGGCCGAGGTCGAGGACCTAAAACTTGTAATTAGGCATCTCGCGTACTTTGAAAATACCCTCAGCTTCTTCAACTGCCTAAAAGCCGTCCAGTCGACCTGGGCGAGGTTGTTATTCTCGAGGTACAACTCCTCCAGGTTTTCCAGCCCTTTGAACATGTTTCTAAAAATCTTTATCCAAAGTTTCGATACTTAAAAATTACCTGCTGATGGCGCCAAGCTGATTATTCTGAATTGACAGCACGCGGAGAGAGGACAAAGCCGAAAATGCCCCATCTTCAATCTCGGAAATGGCGTTGTCGTTGAGATACAACTCGCGCAGGTCCGTTAACGAGTCCAGGTCATCGGCGCGAAGTTTAGATATTTTGTTTGCTAAAAAGGAGTCTCATCTTTTTTACTCCTTAAAACTCACCGCTAACATCCAAAATCTGGAGATGATCAAGCCCTTTCAGCGCCTCTGGATCGATCGTCTGAATTTTCGGGTTACAGTCAGCTTTTTGAGTGTTGTCTACCTTCTTGATAGCATTATTCCTCAACCGCAATTCCGTCAACCTCGCTCCAAGTGTAGCGAAACTTCCGGCGCGAACCACGCTGACCAGCGAGTTCTCAATGATCAGCTTCCTGGGATTAGCCTAAAAAAATAGGTATAACCAGGGTTGAAAAGCCGCTTCGCGACCCTTCAACCCTGGCCCCGTCTCGGACCCCATAATATTCTTCTTTTTGCATAATTGTACTCCATTCAATCAGGACAAAAAAAAAATGAAAACAACCGTTTCTGCCTCTTTATATAGGCGACCACCCACTTCCGCTCTATGCTAATTATTCCTAACAAAGAGGTTTTTAAAAAAACCTAAATTTAATAGCGAAAATGGCTAATTTTTAAAAATCTGATATGTGTGCAGTCATCCCTAGACCATTACGCACCTAATGACGTATCATACGTAGCCTAATACCCGTCCCCTATCGAGGTATCCTCCGGACAGACTTACGGAAGTGGATGCAAAGTGGCACACACACACACACAAACCACTATTTTTTTATATGTAGTATGATTAGCTTACGGTCGGCTTTTGCGAAATTTTACATGTTTTCGCAGCCCTACAGTTTCCAATTACAATTTTTCATGCAATAGTGATTCACTGGCCTTCTCGAACATCTCGGTCGGGATGATGTTCAACTGGCTGTCCCAAATATGAACTCGTTGCACCCGGGTCTCGTTGAGGCTTCTAAATAATCGTCGATATATTTTTTAAGGTAGAATAGACAGTTTTTTCGATCATATATTTGATCCGGAACTCACCGCAATTCCCGGAAAACAGTGGACATTGACTGGCCGGAGCAGCCAATCCATACGTTGTCGTAATTTGTCCCGACCAGCGGGTCGATCATACATTTACATGAGGTCTGGAAGATATGATTATGGATTTTGAGTAGCTTGTGTATCGAGTTTGAGCGCTGTTTTCAGCTTTTAAGCAATACGAAAATTAATATCTCAAAGTTTGGACCCAGGTTTTGCGCAAAAATGTGAAACTAGCATGACCACCATATGTCTTTAAATCGATGGTGGAAGCCGCGCATCTATTCTATGTTCTTTAAATATTTTATTATTGTTATTTTATTCAATTTTATTTACTTGTTCGTCATACGTTCTACCCGAAAGTTTCGCCTTATATCCTCGCTTCCGCGCCACAAAACACAGCAAAGTCTATTTCGTCAAATAACAACTTTTTATCATCTATCGATTGCAAACACTTGATTTGAACTTACCGCGCCATTCTGCGACGACACCGATCGAAAAGCAGCATTAATAGGCATGCAAGGGTCCGCCGATTCGGTGGTCAAAAGATTGGCCAAAAAAACGGCCACTAACGCCCAACACGGGCTCATCTCCGCGGAAAACGGCAGTCGCGGCGTCGTGTCACTGAATTCTTGGCTATTCACGGTCAGAAATTAGGTTGCAAAACATGTCGCAAAAAATACAAACAGCCGGGCGGTCTTGCGAAAAAGTTCGATCCGTGCCGACCGGTACCCTACCACGCTACGACCCCGCCTATCGACGTAGCCACCCCATCACCCCTTTACCATCGCGAGGACAACCCCCGAAAATGTGCGACAAATCGGAATTGCTTTGAAAAAGGCCACATCAAAAGTTTTCGGCTAAAACGAGTCAACTGTACGCATCTTTCCACTTTACGCTATTCGTACAAAGTACAGTTTCGTAGCTTTGCGCAATGAGTCCGATTTTTGTTTTCCAGGGCCATTCCATTGCTTGCCACTTTTCTATAACTTTTGCTATGATTTATTGAAAATCAAATTTTCCTTATTCTTTTCTATAGTTTCCTAGATATTACTCTACCTCCTCACTTCCAGAATGACTTCACAAGTGATCAGCCACGTCAACCCCGTCACGGAGAAGCCGGTCGACCGCGAGAAGACGTGCCCGCTGCTGCTGCGCATTTTCTGCTCGAACAGCCGCCACAACCCAATCTCCGAATACGGCAACCGCGGAAGTGTGCCGGCCAATGAATTGCAAGTGTACACATGGCTCGACTGCTCCCTCCGCGAACTCACGCAGCTGATCAAGGAGGTCAACCCGGAGGCCAGGAAGCGCGGCACGACGTTCGACTATTCGGTGGTGGCTCCGGACCGTATGGGGGTAAGTTTTAAATCTTTTTAAAGTAAATCAGCTCGCGTGTTGTTTTAACATATAATTTTCCATTTTCAGCCTCGTTTCCAAATGCGCGAGATCGGCAACACGATGAACGGCTCGCGCGGCGTCGACGACAACAAGACGCTTCACCAGTGCAAATTCGAGATCGGCGACTACATCGACGTGGCCATCACCACACCGCAATTCCAGCGACCCGGCGGCGCGGGTCCAATGGGTGATCGACGAATGAGCGGACGCAACGACTACAATTCTGGCCCCAGGGACTTCGGATCCGGCCCACGACGTGACTTCAACCGTGACCGATTCAACTAATCATACCTCATTGTTGACCAATTTTCCTGGCCTCCACCTTTTCAATCTTTCCCAAAATTCCATACCTAATCTTGACGGTTATTTCCTCTGGGTTGTTTCGACAATTTTGCTTAGTAAGCGCCCGCTTTTCCTGTAATTTATCACCCACCCTCACGTTTTGCGTCACTTCATAGCGTTGTCAATATTTATGTTCTCCAGTTGGTCTCAATCGTTGTTCTCGCTTCAAGCGTTTGCGGGCGTTGTTGGTCTAAATAAACGTTTTTTTCAGGGATGCTTGGGCGGCTGACGACCACCCGCTTGGCCCTGCCTCGACCGGTGGCCTGCCGTGGGTTAGCCGGTGGACATGGCCATGGACACGGTCACGACGATGTGAAGGTTGAGCGACAGGTGTGGACATATCTTTTTGGTAATTGCCAGCATTTTTTCAGTCGGAGGATTATCGTCCCGGTTCCGACAGCTATGCCTACGACAACCCCTGGCCTAAGCTAAACGGCGGACGTCTTGATTGGTTGTTTGGCGATGGGTTAGTTTCTTTTAAGATAAATTTGCGTTTTTTTACTGTGTGTTATTAATTAACTGTAGATCTTTTTCAGTTGGCGCCGCCCGCTTGCCAAGGACCAAGGAGCAAAGATTCGCCGCGAGTGGATTTGGTTCAACCAGGTGGCCCACGACGAGCACGCCGACTGGAAGCGATTCCACGGAATGTTCTTCGTTTCTATGACGGTAAGCTTTTATTTGTTGCCACGTAAAAATTTTCTTTAGTGTCTGACCGTGTGGATTACCTGCTGGATCATTTGGTTCCGCCCGGATTGGCCGCAGGGCAAGGAATGGGCGCTGCGTGAGGCTCATTTGGAGATTGAACGTAGGCGGTAAGTGTCGTTCTTGCGCTTCGGGCCCCTATCGCTTTTCGAAGGCACTTATCATATTATTTTTTTCAGAAAAGCCGGACTGCCCCTCATCTCTCCCGATCTCCTTCCTCGCGACCGGGTGATGGCCATTCTGCCAGCTGAGGAGGAGCTCCGCGACTTCGACATCATCATCTAAAGCCTGTGACTACTCGTTCCCCCAGTCTCCGCTCACCGAATTTGTTATTTCTCTTGTTTCATAGGATATGTATAGCTATGAAAAAATAGGCTTTCTTAATCGTGACCGGTCCGGCCGTCCGCTTTTGCACGATAGACGGGCAAAATTCTATTTAGCAGTCAGCTGATCGGCTCCCCCTTTTTGTGTACATTGGCCACGCGTCCGTTGTCTCTGTTTTCTTAGATACAATTTATTTTAAAAGTGCCCTTATTTTCTTCTAATTACACTAGAATTCCGCCGAAATTTCCACATACATCCTTGACGTCGTCCATTGATCGAAAGAATAAAGTCTGCAAAACTCGGTCAGCGCTGACACTTTTAGTAACTTTACTGCTTTTTTAAAGTGTACAGCCGGGTCACTTATTAGTGTATTAGTATTTTGTGATGGCCATTACGGAATCACCTGCGATGAATGGCCCTGCCTGGGCAGTTGTTTGTCCGATCCGTAGGGAAGCTATAAAGCGGCCCATTCTGGGCAAATGGCTTATTCATTGTCGTTTCCAGACCATTTATCTTGGGAATAGGAGATTTGGGATGTGTAATCGATTTCTTATGGCTCATTGTGTGGGAAATTGATATGTTTTGCTGTTTCATGATTTAAAGAAGCTTTTCCTATATTAAATAGAGCGAGCCGTTTTGTGCCGGTTCTAAAAATACTTCAAATCGTTAGCCCGGGTAAAGATGCATCACTGTCTACCCATTTTAGCTTGCCGGTTCCTCCCTCAACCCGGAACGATAGCTCGAAATCTCTCTGGACAACCATTTGCGAAAAACCGTTCAGGACAGAGCCCGGGTGTTGCTGGTGCGCTCGCCTCGGCTCGCCGTTTGGCGCGCCGCGCCGCCCGACAAAGTGCGTTGCGGCCAGGGAGAATGGGGGAAGTCCAGATGGCGAACCACGAGGCTCGATCTGAATGGACTTCTACGCTTTTGCCAAGCCTTTACAACTTTAATTCCCAGTATACAACCAGAAATGCGCTAAATTTAGCTAGTAAATCACCTGCTTCATTATATACGCGTAGCAAGACTTCGATACAAACCTTAATTTTTCTTTAACTTTCGGCGGCTAAGACTAAAATCTTATTAGTTTGCAAAGTACCGCCTTTCCGACCTTTGCTAAACCCAACCTTTGTTTTGACCCGAAGCTTTGCAATATCAGGCCTACCACCTGCCTCCACTTCGACATCGAGCACTTTGCCAAAATTCCCGGCCCGAAATAGCATACAATTAGCCCAGCAACCTGCAGCAGAATTTTTATAAAAAATACGTTCTAATGGGAGGATGACAAAAGCGCCAAAGCAAAAGCGCCAACGACAAAAGCGCCCATGCAGAAGCGCCAAACGAAAAGCGCCCAATGCCAGAAAGCGCCCAATGCCAAAAAGCGCCCAATGCCAGAAAGCGCCCAATGCCAGAAAGCGCTCTATGGGGAAAGCCAACGTATGGAGAGAGGAAACAATTACATAAAATGGCTTTTTTCAAGCTTTGTATGCCTTTTAAACGTTGTTTAGCGATAGGTAGGCTTTGTAGACGGCAAATTATCACCCCGAGCGGGTTGTTTTGGCCTTATTGGGTCTTTTTGGCTTGAATTGCCGTGTTTCAGTCTCTAGTTTTACCGGGTTTGCCTCATGTTCTCACGATTTCTGATGTTTTCAGCCACAATACTGTTGCAAGCACGAAATACTTGTTATAAAACAGTGTTTGGAGGCCAGAACGACGAGAAAAACGCCGTATTTCCGGGTAATGGATCCGAAAATGGCACTAAACAAGCTTTCCACGGCGACTTTATACCTTTCTCACATTAGAAATGTATATTCGGACCGGTTCGAGCATGTAGAGATCAAGAAACTACGTCAAAAATAGTGGAAAAGCTGCTTTAGAAGAGAACTAGCTATTCGAGTGAAAGAATGCCCTAGGAGGCCAAAATAACTTCACCCAGTCGGTAATTTATGGCCTAGTAGGTCGAACTGCCGCTAAACTACCATAATAACACCAGAAAACCGATTAAAACAACTATTTTATCTCTACCTTATGTAATTGTTTCCTCTCTCCATACGTTGGCTTTCCCCATAGAGCGCTTTCTGGCATTGGGCGCTTTCTGGCATTGGGCGCTTTTTGGCATTGGGCGCTTTCTGGCATTGGGCGCTTTTCGTTTGGCGCTTCTGCATGGGCGCTTTTGTCGTTGGCGCTTTTGCTTTGGCGCTTTTGTCATCCTCCCGTTCTAATCAAACCTTGCTGAACCTGCAGGCGTTCACCTGCCCGCCCCAGCTAAAAATTTGGCGCATTGGTCTGGTCGCGTCCGGGGTACGGCCATTTGCGCTGATTAATCTCGTGAAAATGAAATTGGCTGTTTGTCGCCTATTACTTTGCACCTGTTTCTTGCCAATGTTCGGCCTCACTCCGACATCTCGACAGCTTCTAGCTGACAACTGAAAACTCGTTCCAGACTTCCAGCCGCCGTGGGACGCTCGCCATCATTTGGTTCGATTATTTTGGAGCATGCTGTGAATATCTGCATCATCTAGTCAGCAACAACTCGGGTTCCAGCGCGGAAGTATTCTGATCGTTTCACGGGTATGCATTATGGCAATAATTTTATTTGAGAACGAAAGGCTGTATTGGAAATGCGTAAATGGTACCTTTTCAGGTTCATTTTATGGGTATCGTACACAACTCGACGAGACGACATGTGTAAAAGCAGACCCCCGGTGATATGTCTTCTACTCTTCTTTTTCGCCTTCGTCGGCGCGCAGATCGACAAGGCTGCTTTGAAGTGAGTTTTTTGCATGAATTTAGTCCTCTACGTCGTTTATTATTGGTCGAGACGAGAGCTTCGCGTTTTTCCAGTCAAAATCGATCCGATTCTGCGCCAGATTTACCAAAAAAAAACGACCGAGTTTCCCTTTCCACCAGCCGCAGCGGCATACAATAGACCAGCGAATACACAGCGGAAAGTGTGGTTGACCGCGAGACGCTACAAAGTTCTATGGATTATTGAGAGAAAAGTGCGGAGGCATAGAGAAAAAGAGAAAGCCCCCGCGGCATTGGGGAACCGGTTCGCCGGGTCGCCTTGACGTTTTCCCCTGCAGGGGGGAGCGGCCGGGAAAATTTGAGACGTCGAGAACGATTCAGAGTTCATCGGGGGATCCTTGAAAAGAAGGAAATGAAATTGATAACGTTGTGGAAAACCCCTCAAAAAATTAAGTTGATAAAAATGGCTGTGTTTAGACAAGAAGCCTACGATATGTTTATGCACGGATACCGGTCCTACATGAAGCACGCATATCCTGCCGACGAATTGATGCCGTTGAGTTGTAAAGGGCGGCAAAGGGGGGTGACGCCTAGCAGAGGAGATGTTGATGAAGCGCTTGGAAAGTACGTTTTGCGCCAATTGGCGCGTTTTACTTGTTCAGTAAACGGAAGAGGAGATAACTTTAAGTTTAGCTTCTCCCTAACCCTCGTCGACACCCTGGACACCCTCTACGTCATTGGCGAATTCGACGAGTTCTCGAGGGCTGTGAAATTGGTAGGAATTTTGAAAATTTTGTAATTCAAGATAAGAAAAAGTGAATTATTTCTGGAAAGCTTCTTTTTAGATAGTAGACAACGTTCGTCTTGATTCTGACCTTGTCGTCTCCGTTTTTGAGACGAACATCAGAATGGTCGGCGGACTGATCTCGGGGCATTTGATGGCCGAACGATTACGCGGGCAAAGTCCTGAATATTTGCAGTGGTTTGTTTTATAGATATATTCTGAATTATCTTTTTAAAGGTATACCGACAAGCAGCTGTTGAAAATGGCTGTCGAGCTGGCCGATCGGTTACTTCCGGCCTTTAACACAACCTCTGGGATACCTTACGGAAAGGTATGAGATTTATTGACCATTTTTTTTTGGATAATTTCTCGCTCTGATGAACTCGGGAATAATTCCACACTACATGCCAATTTTCATACATTCCTGTTTGCTCAGATCAACCTGCGCCACGGGATGCTCGAATACCTGAAACGCCAGAAAGACACCTGCACCGCGTGCGGCGGCACATTGCTTTTGGAAATGGCCGCGCTCAGCAGGTGAAACAGCTCTAGAATAAAAAATCTAATATATGTTTTTAGGCTGACCGGCAACCCAATTTACGAGGAAAAAGCAAAGAAGGCCATGGACTTTTTGTGGGCACAGCGGCATCGGTACGTGCATCTTTTTTTGGCTAGACACTGAATTGTTTTAGAAGCTCCGATCTGATGGGGACCGTTCTGAACGTGAATACCGGAGATTGGGTGCGAAGAGGTAGATTAAAAGAAGCAGACGGTTTTACGTTTTTTTTTTAGATTCTGGGATCGGCGCCGGGATTGATTCGTACTACGAATATTGTCTGAAGGCCTACATTTTGCTGGGCGATCATCACTATTTGGAGCGGTTCAATCGAGTTAGTAATTTATTTTTGGAATATTTAAATGTTTCTACAGCATTCATTATTAACATCATTGAAAAAAAGTGTATAAGTTTTTAATTCCAGCATTACGAAGCCATCATGCGATACGTCAACAAGGGTCCATTCTTTGTTGATGTCCACATGCACCGCCCTACTGTAGCCACACGGTATTTCGATTTTTTTTCATGCAAAATTTAAATTTTTTAGTTCTTTCATGGATGCGCTCCTGGCCTTTTGGCCCGGACTCCAGGTCCTGAAAGGCGACATCAAAGAAGCCATCGAGATGCACGAGATGTTGTACCAGGTGGTCAAGGTAAGTCTGTTAAATTTAGCAATTCAAATAATTGTGTTCTTTAGAAACACAAATTCCTGCCCGAGGCTTTCACGCACGATTTTCAAGTGCACTGGGCAGAGCATCCGCTTCGCCCGGAATTCCTGGAATCGACATATTTTTTGTATAGAGCTACGCACGATGAGCATTACTTGGAAGTTGCGACAATGGTAAGTTACATTTACACTTGATTTTAAATTTTTCAGATCATGCAAAGCCTGAATGAAAACGTAAAAGTTCCGTGCGGATACGCTGGCATCAAGGACATACGAACGATGGCCCATGAGGACCGGTAATTCTGAATCATCTTTGCTGGATGACATTCTTTTAGTATGGACTCGTTCGTCCTCTCCGAGACATTCAAATACCTCTACATGATCTTCTCCGAACCAGAAGATTTGCCCCTCGATCCCGATGAGTACGTGCTCACCACAGAGGCCCATTTCCTGCCACTGAGCATGGCCAAGGTGTTCGATGTTGAGGTGAGAATTGGAAAACCTTTTTTTCTCAAATGAGCTCTGCTGACATGCTCATTTATTTTTTTTTCTCCCAGATCCCTCGAAAGATCATCTTTGACGCCAGGGGGAAGAGGAAGTCGATGCGGCCAAAGCTCTTCATGCGAATCCGGTAAAAATCCACGAATTTTCTTAATTTTCCAGTTTAGTGGTCCCACCGCGATCGCTTGGCGCCGAACAAGCCCCGGGAAATTCGGGAGCGAACGAAGAGCGTCCTAGAAGAGGTAGCAGTACTCCAAGCCCAACACGCTGCTCAGGGCAGCGGCCAGTGCATGAAGCCGTAAGTTTTTGGATTTGATAAATTATCGTGATCCTTAGTTTGAGACTGGATATTGTTTTGTATTTGACGGCTATTCGGTTATCATATTTCTTCAAATCGTTTGTTATATAGAGAGCATGCGTTGGGTGGGTTTTAAATAGGTTTTCTGCGTTTACGCCCAGACTTTGCTTCTAAACTATTAATTTCCCGACGTGTTTAACAATACGGTTTTAGGACGGAACGCCTAAAAGCCTGGGCGTTCGATGCGAAAGACGCCGACCACATCCGCCAGCTTCGCCAGATGGGCATTGACGTCCAAGTTCAAGACGACGGCCGGATACATCTCAGCCATCACGCAACGAATGTAAGCCAAGTTTTTCAAGCTTTCCAAGCCGCCGCTTAAGCAATGAAATTACACACGTAATATGCAGAAAAACCTGTTCATAATACCGAATTTGTAAATTTATGAAAGTCCTCGATTTTTCTCCCCATTGACCTGGATTTTCAAAAAAAGATTCGGCATTATGAACGTACAGTACCCATGCACAAAATCATACAAAATTCCCCGCTCTCCCTGAATTAATGTTGTACACCCCGTATTGTATCGTACGTCTTACCACTCCGATTCGGCAAAAATACGGCTCGGGCGGCAGCGATTCGCTTTCCAAAGAAAGAAAAATTTGTGCTATTCCCTTATTAACATTTATGTTTGAATGCCCAGTGATTGCTGTCGCGTGTTTCTCTACCTAACGGGCTTCAGTTATCTTTTTATCAATTTTTGAGTGACTTTTAGGGCACAGAAAAGGCTGCTTGCCATATCGCAGCTTTTTATATGCGATTTTTAAGTTACTTACATAAGTTGCGGAATGCTAATTTTATAAAAAGTTCAAATAATTGTCCGTAATTCCTCAGTTCCTCTAATTTCCCAAACCTCACCTAAGTTCTAATAAAAACAATAAAAAAGCGTCAAAACCGCCGGCGAGCCGTATTTTTTGCAGGGTGACGTGGTGTCTTGTGTGATTGACGAGGACACGGCTACCATGGAGCACTGGCTCTTTTCGACGCCGATGCTGCGCGTCCAAGGCGGACACCCGCAAAACATCGGGCAGATGCTGTCGCTCGTTCTGATGGTCGTACTCCTCTGGGTGGCGCTGATGATCACGACGGCGTTCGTCATCTGCGCGGTCGCCGTCATTTATCGGATTATATTCGCGAAAAAGCCCGTCATTGTGATGCCCTCGTTGTTGGACGATGCGGGGGTTGATTCCGGAAAGTCGAAGGAGGACTAGGTTTTATAGATTTTTAGTCCAAAAATTTTTTTGTGACTTCCCTATTTTTCTATCACTAATTTCCTTTTCTAAGAGCATATTTTGTTGGGATCCCATCGAAAAGTTTTCAATTTATACTTGTAAGTTTTTTTAACTTTACCTCCATTTTTCTATCAAAATGCACTATATTTTTCCCACTACCAAGTCCTCGAACGGCTTTAAAGATATCATAACGGTGATTTTACCTAGTTCATTGTGAATCTGTGCATCATTTAAACTATCGTTTTTGTAAAGTAATTTCTGTTGTAACTCCTGTTTTTTTTATAATTAACTTGCATAATTCGCTCTCTCTCTCTGTACGTAGTCAAATAACATGACGGGTCCGATTGTTAGGCCAACTAGGAGGTAAAATTTTAAGCTACAACTGTAAAGTATATTTTTTACAACGACTCGCTAATTTCACTTGTGAATTTTGTGATCCCGCCGTTCCCCCATGTGATTATTAATGAACGTGTACACTAGCGTCGTTTTTTGGCCCGACTGGCTCACCGAATAAATTGGAATATGAAGTGAAAGAATACAAAAAATGCAGAGAGATACAAAAGGACAGCGGATAAATTAGGAAAATTTAAATTAACGTTTGTAAAATAATTTTGTTAAGGCCGCCAGCGTGGAAATGGCGAGATGGGGTCTCGAATTCCTTCTAGAAGCCGATCAGCTGGCGAAGAAGTTGGTCGAGCAAGCTGGTATTTTTTCGGATATTTTGAAAGAGTATTCCGGAGCTTTGATCAGTGTTTGGAGGTTTTCAATGTCTACAAGCTAATCCGAATCTGGCAAATTTCGCTGTAATAATTAATTTAGTACGGAACTAGAAAGTATTTTCTAGAACTATTTTTACAAGTGCTTTGAAAATCCCATTTTAGCAGCAGCAAGCCGTGAACAACCCCAACCCGACATCTACATCCAGCTGCTCTCCTATCCCTATTTGGGAAAACCGGTGATGCTCGCCGCTCCGGCTCAATTTGGGAGGCTTTTGGAGGACTATTCGGTAAGAAAAAGCACCGATTACTCGAGGGAGGCCAGCAACGAACATTCAGGAAACGTTAATAAAAACCCGACTTTTAGGTCGAAGCCGAAGTCGCCTTTTCCGTCCCATTCTCCGGCTGCTCCTCCTTGCTCAACGGGCCCCAGGTCAAGGGAAAAGTGGTAGCGGTTCAGCGTGGCGATTGCATGTTCCAGGTAGGCTTTGTTTAACGTAATTACAAAATGTGCATTATTTAGGACAAAGCCCGAAATGTACAGGAAGCTGGCGCCGTTGGCGTTATTGTCATTGGTCAGTTTTCATCCCTGGAAGCGCAAAAATATGTAACTTTTCAGATAACAAACCTGGGACTTCTGCCGAAACGAGTCAGCCATTTGCCATGTCTGGGGATATCGAAAAGGAGGATGATATTAAAATACCAGCTGTGGGTTTTGAAGCTTTATAATTATGGCCGAACCGGAAATCCTTCATAAGCTTTATTTTTAGGTTTTCCTGTTCCGACGGGAGGGCAATATGCTAATGAATCGGCGCGGAAAGACTGCAACTTTTGTTCGGATCACGATGAAGCCCTATGACGAAGGTTTATGATGAAAATAACTGCTACTGAACTTTGATTTAGATTCTGTCGTCGAGAGCTTCATGCGCTGGGGCCCGGGCATCGGAACTCGACGGTTTTTCCCGGTAAGAAGAAACGTAACAAATCAATAATTTTATTAAATTCAGAAATGCGGTCTCGATGATGGGTACTTTATTCGAATCGAGCCTCCAGGAGATGCTATCACGTTCCAATTTCGATTTGGCGGCGTCACGCAGGATAGCGATCCGCTGGAGCATCAAGGGGTGGGTTTTGCCTTGATTTTTCTGTCCTATTTAATACGCATATACGATGGTCTATTTTAAGTGATACTTATTTAATGCTGACTTGCAGATAACTGAGCGTCACATCGGGAATCTGGCGGATTTGATGGAGTTTTCGAGTCCACAAAATGAGCAAGACTTCCTCAATTTTGTGCGCAACACCGCCTACACGGCCCTAGGACTGAGCGTGAAGGACGAGCCGTTGGCGCCGGTGTTGAAGTTGTTAAAGGTAAGTTTTTGCAGAATTTAAATTCGTTAAAACGCTAAAAGCGCTTTTAATATAGCACGTTAATTTTCAGGACGTCAAACTCGAACGAGAACACCCGGATCTCTACCGGCTGTTGCCCGGTGAATTGACGCGGGTTCGATGCCAGCCCACTGGCGAAGTGATGGCCTGCGCCGTTGTATTGTAGTTTGTACATTATTTTTAAGCTTTTTAACTTTTGGCCCCTTGTTTAATTGATTATTGTTATTAGCAATACCGTTCCGATTCGCTAGGCACATTATCCCATGTCAAGATTATCAAAACAAATCATATATCTCTTTCCTTTTCTTTGATTACCCTGCTTTCTCAGCATGTGATTGTGATACTGTGCGGGATTTACAGTCTCTATCTACTCCGGGCTTGGTCGTATCGTATTTATTTCCATTTCTATTTTCTAGCCATGTCCGCCATTCCGCTGTGCAATTGTTTACGGAATTATAACGTATTTTGACTGTAGAAAATCTCTCAAACCAAGTGACCCTCCCCAAATTTGATGTGCTAGTTGAGATTGTGTGCCTTTTTTATTGTTGATTTATTTTTGTGCGTTGGATAAATATATCAAGCTCTACTTGGTCTTATTGAAAAAGACATCCTAAAGGTACAATTCGGATAAGGGGGGAAAATTTTAAGGGGGAAACCAACTTTTTTTCGGCCCTCGTGGGGATAGAAAAAAAAATTTTATTTTTTTAGGAAAATTTTAAGCCATTTGAATCGGAAAAACTTTTAAAAGTAAAACGAAAAAAAAAAATTTGGTTATTTTTGGGCCGAAAAACGATTTTCGACCTAAAAATTTAATTTTTATTTTTTGTAAAGTTTTTATGTTTAGGAATACTAAAAAAATTTAGAAACACTTCCACTATTCCTTTAAAAATTAGGCTTGCGCGGAAAAATTTCTTTCCCCCCCTAAAATTTTCCCCTTATCCGAATTACTCTAAAATTTAGGCAATTGTATTTTTTTATGAAACACCGATTTGATTTACGGGAAGAACTAGAAACTGAAGAAATATTTTAAAATTAAATTTTGAAGTGATAAGTCATAATAAATATAATTCAGGGCGCCTCTACAGCTCCATTCTTGGTTTTTGCAACAAGCAGCATGTCGGAAATCGATTCGGTGGGTTTTCTTTCAGATCATAACCGGCCCCATTTGTTGGCTGAAAAATCGCCCCCCAAAAATGACTCATCCGTTTTCTCAAGCCCACCCCAAAACGCGATGTCTATCATTTTTCGTTTCTGTTTCTTTTTGGATATCCCTTTATTTTTAGTGATGCAGTTGGCGTCACCGCTCATTTTTGGGCTTTTTGGTTGGCTAGAAGCTAGGATTTCTTGTAAGGGACTCGACGGCCAGAATGTGGATTGGTAAGTCTGGAAGCTTATGGCCTTAACGCCGATTTTTTAGGTTCGTCGCCTACAAACTCCCTCAAGGTGTAAATGGCTCTGATGGCCGGTCCTTCATTTATGCTGACGGCAAAAACTCGCAATGGACCCAATCTAAAAAACTAATCTCTGATGAAAATTCTGCCATAGCAGCCACAATTTCCCAAATATATCGCCAAGACGAGGTAAAATGAGTTGTAATATAAATTACACGATATTAGTCCGCCTTCCGCTTCGCTTACTCCGACGATGGGCCAGCCACTAAATCAGATGGCTACAGGTATTTCCTTCAAAAAGCAAAAAGTACGCTCCCGGGTGGGTTCGAACCACCGACCTTTCGGTTAACAGCCGAACGCGCTGCCGATTGCGCCACGGAAGCGGTGGTGCCTGGTCGGGGGAGAGGGGTGATAAGGGGGACGCACGAGACCTGACAGTCAAAGGGAATTTTAGGGGCCATGCCAAGGGTGTGCTCAACTTTGATTCATCGACCGGATTTTGGTTATTACATTCTGTTCCCAATTACCCTCCAATTGGTAAGTAACATCTCGGATAATGCTTATTTTTCTGATAAAGTTACCCTAGCTTTATTAACCTCAAGAGCCTGAATTTTGGAAGTGTTTGTAATATCGAAAAATCCATTAAGAGATGTAACTTTCAGGATCGTATTCCTACCCACAAACTGGCGTAAAATTTGCCCAATCTTTCGTCTGCATCACCGCTGCCACCGATGCCCTAAATGAAATCGGCGACCATTTGCGATATATTCAATCGAACCCGTTTAATATTGGACTACCAGAGAAATTTGCGGCAAAGTAAGTAAAATTAAGCTTTCTGGGTTCAAAATATGGTTTAAGGTATCCTATCCTTCGTACCATCGCCCAGAAAAAGTCACTACCAACCTCCACTGTAAAATACACACTAAACAACCAGCTCACGACGGTCAACGGAGCCAAATTCTTTGCTTTTGCCAAGCATAAGAAATTTGATAAAGGTGCCGTTATAAAATTAGCCTTGAAAAAAATATTAGAGATTTTAGATCTGTGGCACGATCTTATTGTGCCTACTACACGAGCTTCTTTTGGCGTTCAAAGCTGGCTAAATGGAGGGGCGGATGATTTGGGATCAACTTGTACCTCGGAGGGAAATGTGAGTAAAATGAAACATATATATTTAAAATATTTGTGATATATTTAATAGGTATCTGTAATTAACCCTTAGAAATTTATATTGTCGAAGAGCTCGTCAAGTGTTGATTAGCGAAATAATGTTGATTTCCCAGGTTTTCCCAGGCGTGCGAAAAGGTTTAACGTTTTCACGACATAATGCGCCAGAAAATAGGCAAAATTCGTGAAAAACTACACCTCTACAAAGCCTAATACGAACCCAATACCTTTTCCAGGCCCCCTCGCGCAAAAAGCAAAAACTTTGCCGCAAGTGGGGTTCGAACCCACGCGGGCTCACGCCCATTGGAACTTAAGTCCAACGCCTTAGACCACTCGGCCATCGCGGCTCCGATTTGGGGCGACGGGAGGGGGGTCTTTATTGGGTGGTCGGCCCCCGGCCGCCCCATTTTCACAACAAACACCCACACCTTGCGTTGACGTCAACAATTTCGGGGTTTCCCCAGCCCCTAGGGGGGACTTCTCGGATGGAAAATTAGACATTTCGATTAGAGGATTAATGTGGAAAGGTTACGAACTAGGGAAAGCTTTAGTTTTTTGGAAATACGTCGTATCTACACTTGCAATTTTTGAAAAGGGTTTGAAAGTATTTCTTTCAGTTTTCCTAAATAATTATTTTGAGAGAAGAGGTAAATTTTTCATCGAATTACTGTCTGTTATCTAACTATTGGCAAAGGAAAGTATTCAAGGAAGAGAAAACGAAAAAGCGCAGAACTATTAAATAACTGAACACCTCGATTTTGTGTTTGCCTAAATTTCTAGGTCCGAATTCGTTTGAAAATATTTTCTATGCATTTTCAGAATTAACACTTTTCCTTTCAGGTCTATGACATTGACGAGATCAATTTGCTGGGCACCAAATTCTCGTCGAGCAAGGACCACTCAAAATGGGCGGTTAGTGATGATGTTCGGGTGCCGATGGTCTGCATTGGGGACTTGAACCGACAAGTAGGCTCCTTCAGACGTCACTGAAAATCTTCTTACCTTGAAACCATTAAAACCATTTTCAGAAATCTCAACTAAAACGTGGTGGTGGAGCCTTGTGCATTAGCGACCAACGACTCTGGCAGACCTACCGAAGTACCGTATCCCACGTGGCGCCGTGCCAGACGAAAGGGGTAGCAACCATTGCCGCTAATCTGATCACGACCGCCACCTATATTGCACTATTTTTGCTTCCTTGCTTTGTCTAATATTTATTATACGCCGGGGCTTTGGTGCCAGTTTTTGAGTCCTTTTGAAATTGCTATATTATCACTTCAGATCTCACGAGGGTAGCTGCAGAAAGATGAGTGAACTGCTAGCTGTTTATGAATAAATGTTCCATTTTCGTGTGTTCAAGTAAATTTCAAAGAAATGCAATGGAATTCCAGAAGTCGCTAGCATTAAATTTGTTAGTATCTTACGGGCTTAACTCCCCCCGCCAGAAACCGTTAAACCGTTTTTCGGCCATTGTCCCTGCCCCCGGTTTTACGTTTCGATACTCCGGCTACTGAAGGGAGCGCGCGTCACCATAAACAATAGATTTTGGCTGCTGAACGCGTGCCAACTTTCCCCAAAAACCGGGCCATCAAACCGGGAGGTTACGACTTTTTGAGGAAGTATCGTAAAAGTAGACTTGGCCGAGGGATGGTTACCCACGATACCACCCACGAAGGAGGATTACTGGATCCGGTCGAGATAGTGGAGGTATTGAAAGCACACCCGTATTATACGCTTTGTAATGCAAATGAAGCAGACCGATGGTATGGACAAGACATTTAAAGGGCCCGTATAGTCGCGATTCCATTATTATATTAACGGTTCCTTGCCGTAAAGGAACTCGCATGCTACGACTATGGATTCCCATAAACGATTTGCCCGCTTCACCATCCCTTTAACCCGCCGTATACCAAACCCAACTCCTCCCCTTTAGCCCCAAATAAGCCCCGAGACCATAATTTACCGCGCAAATTGGCACTTTGCCCAGCCGGCTCCGGGTGAAGCCCGGAGTCGTTGCGTAGAGTGCAGCCGGTAGGGCACCCCTACTTGGCAGGTGGCCATGGGATTCGTATCGCGGTCCGGAAAGTGCGGAAGAACTCTGCTGATGTGTTTTAGGAATGTCATCAAAGTACGGTGGCATTAGCGCGTATTAGAGAGACGGTAGTTTTCTCCCATCGCTTTGCACAGTTCTGCCAAAACAAAATAAAAATCGCGCCAAAAATGGTTTTTGATGTTCTATTTAGTGTCGCAAAAATTCTACAATTTTTGGCCGTCCCCCTCGGATCATCGGAGATTAGAAAAGCCTCCCCCTCTGGCAACAGATTTTTCGAAATTTTCCGCTCTGCAGGATTGGCGACCTGAAAAAGCTTTGTAGAATCCGGGGATCTCGAGGATTAGTGAGGTTTTTCTGGGATTGAGCGCGTCCGTTCGAAAACAACAGGCAATCGTGAAATTTGCTGAGAATATATTCTACTCTTGGTTCTATACGAACCTGAAGCAAATTTTGGCTTCTCATTTTGCGAGATTTCGTCTTAAAGGGGGTTGAAAGCGCGGAGTCGACACTTTCAATAGGCCAGGGGTCGACAGTCTAATAATCCGTTTTAGGTGGTAATTCCCCAAAGAATCTCTGCTAGCCTGCTCTTCACTGGGGCTTCTCTGCTAGCCTAATATTTCCTCAGGAAGCTCTGCTATCTGAGCCTTTACTGAGAAATCTTTGCTAGCTTGTTTTCCCCGAAATATCTCTGCTAGCCGGTTCATCCTGGGGTTCATCCTGCACCTTCCTAAAGAATCTCTCTGAGTTGTCGGCACCAAAATCCAATAAATTCATGAATAGCACCCACTTTTTGTATTTTTTGATATTTGAAGCCAGGAGAGATATTTTGCAGGCGGCCTGAAGATCGACGCCTAGCTTCGAATACCCATCCAGCCAAACGGTCACTTTGCGCGCATCCCGCGCCCTTAAAGCGCACGTTCAGGGAGGGGCCGTATACTCTGCCCAACGTATACATCCGATGGACGTAGGGACCGCGTGACTGCCTGCCCGTGCCGTGACAGGCAATTCCCCTCCTTTCCGGGGTGAGGCGCCCCTCGGCCCCTCGCGTCAAAAATTTTTTCTTTGTTGCCCAAAAACGTCCCTGAACGTGCCCTTTAAATTGCACTATCCTACCGTAATGCACTCCTCATAACCCCCATCTACGACTCACTTCGAATCTGGCCCGTCGCCAAGCCATTTAGCCCGGTGCCTGCCCTAGCCCGAGCAACCGGCCGGGGGCCCTAGTGTCCGATGTGGGCGTGCGTGCCAGTCTACCCCACCCGAAAGCCCCCTCTACCCTCCCAAATACGAACAGTTTCGTATAAAAGGTGCTTGCTGGATGGTAAACATCCTCGCTCGCCGCTTTTCGCCGCCCACACCTCATCCCGGGGCTCCCGAGTTTTGCAATATTGCTCCCCAGATAATGGCATAGCTGCTGGCCGATGTTTGGGCATGCGTCAAAAAATTCACACACGCGGTGATGTCCTTTTTTTGTAATAAACCGGTGGTCGATGATGGGTCGCGGGATGCCTGGGTCAAAAACGGCCGGTTTGGGACCGATTTTCGCCATTTTGAAGGTGTGTCCTGGCTTTTGGTAAGCCCAAATAGCTTGCTTTAGCGTTTTTGATTTTTAGACAGTGTTATAATCCTGTCTATAATTTTTACCAAGCAGCTAAGGCCGAACGTTCGAATTATAAGCAATGCCTTTGTCGAAGCTAGACTAGTCTAGAACCTACAGTCTACAGCCTACGACCTAAAATTTGAATGGCACACTCAAGCACCCTAGCAACTACATTTTTTCCGCCATCCCCCGTGGCTGTTGTAACCTTGCCAAATCTATTTTTTTATATTACCACATCCGACACTTCCATCAAAACATATTATTTTTAATCACCCCTGTCCGAAACGAGATTATCTCCCCCACCCCGAACATCACATGTCCGAACTTGGGCGTCAGGGCCTAGTCACAAAATCAACAGTCACACACACGCGCCCGCCTCCGGGTCGCAACGCTACGTCATTCCCGCGACCGAGTCACAATTCCTAAACGGTGTCGCTTACACATCAATAACGATGTACGGAGTCATCGTATAAACAATTCTTTTGATGACTAGGATGTCGTCGTCGTCTGAATCAGATCGTGTTTCGGCACGTTTTCGGGCCATCCCATAATCTTTGGAATTCCAGAAATTTGCCATTAATGGGAATTTAAACAGTTTCTGGACCTGAATCCTTGAAAATGTGTGTTATTCATTTAGCGTGTCTTCTAAGAAGTTCTGGCGGTAAATTCGCCATTTTCCTGATTTCCCGGCTCCTTTAAAATCCGTCCCAATCGGCTTTCTGTAGCAAGGAATTTAAAATTAGTCTAAATTAGCATTGATTTAGTCTATGTTTACCTGTATTCTTGTGATCATGTATTCAAAAATTGTTTAATTGATACTTGGTTTTATAAGCATAGTATATGTTATAGTAGAATTTAATTTGCCTGATAAATATATAAACAACAAAAAATTCAAAGCCTAATTTTTGCGGAAATGGGGTTTTAATACAGGCGGGGTTGTTTCTTTGGGCTTGAAGAAAATATTTTTAAAAATCTAGTTACATGTACCTTTTTTGGGCATTTCTCCGGTTACTTTAAATCGGTCCGAGTACTTCACCAGTTTAGTCATTGTCCAGATTTACAAATAAGAAAAACAGTCCCATTTTTGGCATTCGATCCCACAACCCCTGAAATCCGGCGCTAAGCCTCGAGATATTTTCCTGGATGATGGACTCCAAGCATTCCATTCCATTCCTCGTCCCTCGGCTTACTCACAGCATTACGGTCTCCTAATCCACGGGGGATCTCGCCCTCCTCAGGGATTTCTGAGTCACCGCGAGGGCGCTGCAAAACCCATTTCCACCACCCCCGCTCTACTAGCCAGCAGACGAACAACTTGTTCATTTTTGTGCCCTCCCCCAAGTAGTGGCATTCCCTATAGAATCGGTGGATTGAATGACTACTGGAATGCCATCTTTCCCCCTTGGCTCCATCTATCCGTCCATCCATCCGATCGACTTGTCAACCCCTGGGAACGTGGGGCTCCACCGGCCGGTCTACGTGGTTTTTTTTTTTGGCGATTGCACACCGGGGAAACCCTGGGAACGCGCATTTTTGAAAGCTCGTTTTTTTTTTGGTGTGGTGGAAGCGTGGACCGGAAGTGGGGATAAGGAAGAATTCAGGATTTTTGGAATCAGTTCGTAAGGTATCGAAATTTGCAGTAACGTACTTTTGCTGGCGTTGGCAGAAAAATTTACGGAATTGCATAACCATCTTCGGGATCTTTAGCAAGTCTTGGAAAACTAGGTGATGTTAATGGCACTTTAAAGGGACTTAGACTGAATTTGGTTGAACCTGGAAAAATGTCTTACAAGGCTATTAGGGGGATAAAGATGGCACTTTTCGATCAAGCTTCCTCTAGATTTGGCAAAACCTAACCGATTACGCTTTAAAAAGGGCGTGGTGTGCCAACCTAGAAAAGTGGGGAATAAGCCTTTTTCTGAGCAAATTTTATGCTAATTAAAATGCACCGTACGCTTCAAAAATACAAGATTTTCTTATTCTTGATCCTTGGTCAGAAGCTTAATTTATTTATTTCCTGCTTTCTTAAACCATCTGAATCCGCTTCTTTAACGCTACATAGATTCTAGACCCAAAAAGTACACCTAGACCCTTTTGACCCAACCAAACACCCTCGCAACCGCCGCAACTGCAATCTCTGAGCCCCGTTCCGGGCCTCGACCCAAAAAAGTGTCCTTATATTCTACGAGTGGCCCCATCCTCTCGCTGCCCTCCACGCCGTCCCGCGCAGCTGCATGCACTCTTCCATAGGTCAGTCGCGGAATCGCCGCCCAAACCTTCTCCTCACTCGCCCTTCATTCCTCGCCATTTCCACCCTGGCCTCCGCTTCACCCCCGCAAAGGCCAATTCTAAATGATGCTACGTAGCCTGGCCCAGAAGCCCTCCTCCCACCCCCTTGGTAGGCTGGTGAAATTAGGACCCGCCCCTCCGCAAAGTTGAAAGGATTTTGAAATCGGCCACTTCTTCTAAAGGCTGTCGCTAAATTGGGTTGCTTCATTCGAAGGTCATTTGACAGCCCGATCAGCTTTTTAGGATTGCTGGAAATGCTAATCCTTGCCCTTCCTGAACTTCTTGTTCCCTAAATGCGGATAGCCCGAAGTGCAAGGGGGCTACTGTAATCCCGGGGCTAGAGCCAGAACCTACCGTACTTTTCGAGCTACTTAAGGCCATTTTTAAAGGTATCTGCAGCAAGCTTCTATATGTTTCGCGGGTTTCAGAATTTTCGATTCAATAAAATCGATAGCTGGGTATTATCAATTTGAGCATATACGGTACCACCGACTACTTGCTGCACTACGAATTTTTATGGTACGGTAATCCCGTTAAAAACAGCGTGAAAAAAGGTGCTTCATCCCTGAAAATATGCCCTTTCCGCTCGTCCTCCCCTTTTTGTTTTTTAATTGACTCAAGAACACCCAAATTGTCATAGATTTCGGGTGAATCCCCCGGGACTACTCTACCCTTAATGAGTTGATGCGATGAGGGGAGCCCTGCCCTTTTTGCGGGGCGGGAAGATTCAAAAAACGGTCCCGGGCAAAGGGCAGAAGAATGGCAATTAGCAGTGGTGCTCCACCCACCCCTCCTCATCGACGCGTTCATTCGAATGGACGCACTGTGGAAGTGCAATGTGACTGTGGAATCGTTTGGCGAATTGCCCAATTGGATCGGGTTTGAATTGGGAGGAGGGGCGTTCCTGGGGATTTACATAGCGGTATCAGAAGAATTGCGGTTTTTGCAATGTCGTGGAATTTTTTCGGCCACTTAACAAAGTATTTTATGAACATTTCCGGAAGTTTACCTGAGCTGTGGTTGTAGGCAGATCCAGTTTATCACATATCTATGCATCCCCGGAATGGGAAAAACCTTGTAAATTTTTGGTAGGATAGCAGAACGAACTATGGACTTTCTCATACACCTTCTCTCACATTTCTTCAAAGGAATCGTGCAACTTTTAGCTTTTCATTAAGTTTCAGTTGATACCTTCACCGACCATGCGCAAGCCATGGAGTTCAGAAAGGGTAGCTACCCAGAAAAGGTTAAATAAAAACTCTTGAAACCTTTATGCCATAATTAGGGCCTTGGAAAGACTTCCAGAAAAACTGGCACGTTTCCGGGATTCTGCGCTCGTCAAAACGCTCATTCCCTATCCCTTTACACCCGAAATTTACGCCTCACCGTTATTTTCGTACTTCTCCAAAACACCTGCCGATTATTTGTCCATTCCTCCGGTCTTACTACTAGCCCCCTTTTTTCGGGGCATTCCCTACCAATTGCTACACACTGTATCAGTCGGCCCCTTTTCTCTCTCCCCTTCATTGCTGCTGATTTTTCGGTTGTTGGCCAGGGCTGTTGGCGGTGGGCCAGCCCAACTTCTCGGGAGTCTCCGCGGATGCTCAACTCTCTGCACCCCGGGCGCCTTTTATCTCCGCGCGACACCGATCACCAGCACTCACAAACTAAACGTATGGTGGTCTGGGGTCTCCTCGCGGTTCGGGTCTCTCGCCTGTACTTCTTTGCCTCGCCTCTCCGGCAGTTCCGGAAATGCTGCGTCTCTTTGGGGGTCCGCTGAAAATCGTCAAAGTGTCCGGGATTGGGCTTATCTTTGCGGGGCTCGTTGGCGCATCACTTGTCTGTCGGAATTGTTGCCTATCTCGGTGGTGTGCAGTCTGGACTTTCAAAAGGTGCGTGGTCTCTAGTTGTCGGCTAGTCTGTGTCTCTTTCTTGACCGTACTCTCTAAGGACGTTCCCTCCAAAAGATTCTGCGTTCTCTGCTGTATTCACATATCTCTAGAGTGTTAGGCTCCCGCGTCTCTTGCTCTAACTGTCTCTCTAACCCCTCATCCACCCTGTGCATCTTTCTCAGACCCACTGCCTCATTTCCTACTATCCCTTGCCTCGGCTCCCTCCGAAAGCTCAATCTCGTTCCTCCCACTACGCATAGATACTCTCCCCTCCCTCAATTCCCTTCCCCCATCTCTACCCTCTTGCTCTTACCTAATCTCTCCCCATCCCCACTCTTCTCGTGATGGGCACGAGGCCGTGCCCGGGGGTCACGTGTTGGCCGAGCGCGTGCTCGCCCCTTCCCCCGGCTACCGTTTCCGGGTCCCGGATGGAATCGCCGGCCCCTCAGGGCCCTGGTACTGTACACCGCACCTTCTAAACCACATTTCCATGAAGTCATGCGATTGCCGCCGCTCACCCCCACCCCTCCACCTGTTCCCTTTGTACGGCGGGCTCATGCTAATTGGCCCTTGGTCAGCTGGCCGAATTTTGGGGGCGCCTGAAACTCAGGCGGGCCTGTTTTGACGTGCTTTTGATTGTAAGAGGATGTGTTTTGGGATTGGCGTATAATTTTTGATCTGTGGTTGAATCGAAGCTTTTAATGCATTGGAAGGGCTTGATTTTGCTCAGGATCTGACTGTTTCCGTGTTCTTTCAGCATCACGCCATGAAAATTCAACTTAAAAGGCGATAACCGGTAGAGAAGAAGACAGCTTATTTTATCCCCGTGAAACCTCCCCTCTTCATGTATTGCTTGATGTATGCTATTTACCCAAAAAAAGATGGAATTTCCTTGTTTTAATGTGCTTAAATGCCTCTAAATAGCTATTTATTTGCCTGCGTATAAGCGACACTTTAGTAACTATTTTTGCGAACTGTTACCTATGGAATGCCTTCCGTTCTCCATTTTCCCCACATTTTGATCTCTGCCATAACCGTTCCCCATTTTTTTCAGGGCTCCGCCATGAGCGTGTCTTTCCCTTTTCTCGACAAAATCGAAAACCGCTTGGGCTACCTGGTGATCGATGAGTCCGGGGCTATAGTAATGGTAAGTACACCAAAAAGGATTCGAATAAAAGAACTTTGCAGTCAGAGGGCGAGCTCGCCAATAATGAGCGAACGGCGAAGGCGGTGCGCGAAATTTTATATTTGGAACGACCTCAGGCGCCGACGAGAAAGGCCAAGGGGAAGACGACCGAGATGCGGGTGGGTGTTAATAATATTACATGGAAAATTTTGGATTGCTATATTTTTAAAGGCTTAGCACGTTTATCCCGATACCTTCCCGTTTGTTTATCTTTTGATGTTTCTCGTTCTCTCTCCCTCTCTCTCGCCCTCCCTCTCGCGCGCTCTCTTTCCCCCTCGCTCCCTCCCTCACGCTCTCTCTTGTGAAGCCACTAGGGCACCGGCACTTCTTATAACTGTTTTAAGCTTTTTGCAAGTGATCTTTTCGCCCGATCTTCTTCGCTTCTCATTTTCGTAAAATTACATCATCGAAGCCCAACATTTATGCCCAAATTTTATCCCCAGCCAGTAGGCAGCAAATAATCTGGCGCCTAATGTCCGCTCCACCTCGACACCCTAAATGGCGCCATGACATCAAAAACGGCGGCAAATATATTGGTCATTTTATGTAGGCGGTGGCGTTCCGCCTCCACAACCCCCACCCCCCCCCCCCGCCCGTCCATTGTCCTTTTTCGGAAAGCGGGGGAAGACTGACCGGAAACGAATATTTGCCTAGGTCAGGGAATTTTTTGGGTGTTGTGGGTGTCTCTGTGAATTAGCCAGGGATTTGCCTCTTGTAAACACGGATTTTATGGGATAGGTAGAGGTTGTGTACTTCGGGATGTTCGGGTGGTACAAATAGCATTCCGCAAGTGGATCAAATGGAAACAAGGGATAGATCTAAAAGCTGCGAAAACAATCGAAGAAAATATCAAAAAATTGATTCCAAAAGCGTAGTCTAGGCATTAATCGTAATTCTGCAGATTCTCAATCACCCCTGTTCCATCACGCCAAACTGCGACAGTTGACATATAAATAGAAATTCATCGAAACATATCATAAAATTGATCGGAGAATCTAAACAAGAAAAGGAATATGGCACCAAGAAACCCCTAAAAGGCTCTAGAATAGAATAAAATCGAGAAGCTTCTAGCTAATTTTTTTCTCCGATTTTCACTCCATCTTTGGCCAAAATCTCTTCGGGCTTCCCCCGTCTCACCCCCAGACAAATCCTCGAAAATCGCCTCCCACGCTTGGCAATATCCCCCGCGGCGCTCCCATTCACCTCCTTCCCCTCGCCCATTTTTTATTTATTTTCCACTCGACTTCTCCGAATCGGACTCCCTCGAACCCCCAGTGCTGACGTCGATACGCCCACCTCGGGGTTCGGAATGAATTGCAGCGTCCTGCTTTCCACGCACGACATCAAGGGGAAAGCGTTCGGAATGAAAAAATATGATAAATATAGATCTATTGGAGGGATACTGAAGGGGGTTAAAAGGAGTATGGCGTAGTCGTGTTCATGGTTCTGAGGTGGATTTTTAAGTTTAGTTTTGACCCGCAAAACCTAAATCCGGTTTAGGCTTAGGCATTGCTTTTAAGTTTTGCGTAAGCTTAGGCATAGGCATAGGCTTCGCTTATTGTTAGGCACACGTCCACGGTCTTACGTTTATTACATCCATGTCATGGCCTAATGGACCAAGGTGCAGTATCACACGACCGTTCTCTCGATTTGATCCGATCCTTGAACCCTTAAACACTTTCCAAGTACAGTACTCTATTAACAATCCGCTCTCTGGCATTTTCCCGCATGTCTGATGTTTGTCGGGGCCGTGTGTGCCGGTGATTGGAGCCCGATTTATGCGATGCGAGGCTTCTCCCCTCCCCTCCCCTTCCCCCGCGGCCTATCAGAAGTGGAGCTACGATACATTCCTGATAACCGGGGGCCCCCATCACGGCGGGTTGTCCCTCCCGGCCGGGTCATCTCTTCTCTGAATCGTATCGGCTCCCGCACTTTGTTGCCAAAAGAATTTGGGGCTTGTTCTGGGACGAGGGGGGGATTGAGAGAAAATCAGCTTGAAAATCGCAAGAAGTCGAATACATGTACTAAATGTTTATCGAAAATGGTAGGGATGCAAAAAGGCAACCGGTGAATTAGACAGTGAATAAACGGAATCAATTATAGATCGACTACCAGTCCAGCTACTACACGATCGCCCGGAGCGGAAAGTACGGGTTTTGCGTGAAGCGGAAGCGGATACGACCTGTGGTAAGATTGGAAGGGTGAAAAAACACATCCACTAGGGCAATTTTTTTGCGTTGTTTCCGAATCTGTACTCACTTTTTCCTAAGTTGCTTTAATTTTGGAAGTACGGGCGCTTTCTATTTCAAAAACTTGCTTTTTTGCAAAAACGAGCGAAAACACGGTAAATGGATTGACAATACTAATATAGCTCATATGTAATAACGAACAAAGGTGAAAACAACTTTTTGTAACAAACACAAATTCGTAATCGGCGTCAAAAACTCTACCAGATGAATTGCCTTTTATCCTAGCCGCTTCATCGCAGGCTCTTACGTGGTGAATTAACGGATTTGCGGGTTATAAAGATGAAACCACTAAATTTGTGATATACTCAATCTATTTTTAGCCGCCCGAACCGCCGCCACCCGAGATCCACCCATTCTTCCCGAACCTCAACCCCCCGGTCCGGCCCACCCTCGTCGCGCAGAACATTGCCAGCGCCGCCGCGCGCTCCGACCCCAACCCCCTCCGACTCACCCAGCAAATCAACATCCGCGGCAGCAAAACCCCTTCGCCGCCCAAGAAAAATTAATAATACGGGCTTAAAATGCCCCGGAGTTTAAAGGGACTGGCCAGTTAACTCCTTGCTCATGAATTCAGCATCAACGTCTGGCCAACCCCTTTAAAATGTGTAAATTTTGTACAGTCCCCCGGGTGATTTTTGAGGCGCGTTGGTTTATTTGACTTCTGGTACATAATCTAGGAAATTATTTAGATGCTGGCAGGGTCTATAGTACTCTTTTGTGATTGTGAAGCTTGCTGAATTTTGGCTTAACGGAATTAGGAGCATAACGGAATTCACGGAACTTTCTAGAAGTTGAACCTGCCTAAATCGCGCTCAAAAATTGTCAACTACCATATGCCCTTCCCCAACACCACATCCGATTCGACCCGAATTTAGAAATCGAACCGATGGCCAAGCGGATGGGTACTGTAACGAGAGAGAAAAAGAGAGCGAGAGAGAGTGAGGAAGAGAGAGATAGCAGGAAAGAGAAAGAAACGATAAAGAGTGAGAGAGAGAGAGCACCTGCTCTCTCTGGAAAAATATATTTTGGAGTCTAACGGACATCTTTAGCTTTTTTGAGACGATTTCTCAATTAAGAATATTCTCGAGAACATGAAATGAGCTACAGTACCCTATGATCGCCACGGGACCCGCCAGTCTTTCCCCACAATACTTCGTGTTGCCTCGTCTCCAACCTAAATCGTGTCCATGACAAAAGCTATTTTGCGCCCCCACATCCCTCCCCAAAACCACACCGTGCCTCCGCCCGTGATCTCCACCCTAAACTTCGTCAGAATCCATTTTTGAGAATTTTATTTGACGCTTCCGACTCGTTGCTCCACCCAGCCCACCCGAATTGCTTCAAACAAAAAAATGTTTTTGAAAATTATATCTTCCTAAGTTCGCCCGGTAACTTTCCAGTTTTGTTATAATTTTTATGCGATTAGCATAGTTAGTTGGCCGAGATTGAAGAGTTTATTTTATGTTTTGAAATGTGGAAGTTTCGAAACGGCAAAATTAAAGCTGTGAATTTGGATTTTGAGTTTCGAATTTTCGTTTTGCTATGTTTCCGTGCCTACGCTACACTCCTATTTGCGCTCGTCTCCACTCCAACGATTCCTCAGATGAATCCAAAATCCCGCCACTGGTGCAATGTGCCGCAAAGTTGTAAAAATTTGGAGTCTTTAAAAGGGATGGTGAGGTCAGAAATCTATAGCAGGCTCAGCCTAACCTTCCCTTGGTGTTACCACCCCTTTAAAACGCTAAAAACTACCGTATACCCCGCACTCTGTTCCACCTCCCCATGCTCAACACAAAAGGCCTTATCGATTCCATGATTTTACCATTTCCATTTTGCCCTCGTACGCCTCCAATCACCGAATATATCCCGCTTTTCCTCTTCTCGATCAGGACGTTGCTGAACTCTGGAAAATATTGTCTAATTTCTTTAATTTTCTTTTGTTAATTTTAATGCCGTGTAGCCCCCCCAGAGCGTACATTCTGTATCCCCCTTCCAAATAACCCGGTAGCGCCCTGTGGGACAAGTCGAAATATTCGCCGTACTGTGTGTTCGTTTTGTGTGTTTCATGAAATGCTATATTTTGAGGATGTTCTATATAAAGATATACTATATTTTGCTATCAAATGCTCTCGACATAAAATTCAAACAAAAGGGCGCCGGGAGGAAAGGCAAAATTGCAAATGCGGGGCAACAACGAAACGCAAATTCTGACACTAAAAATACACGTGTGGGCTACAGATTGCGGAAGAGTAATTTTTCGATATATTTACCGTCTCGAATTCCGCGCATTAAAGGTATCGGTGTACTACCGCATTTCGAAGCTTTTCTCTTCGAAAGCTTTAAAGACGCTCTGTTAATCTCTCTATCTCTATTAAGGACAGTCGACAAGTCGATTAGTTTTGATATCTAGTCCTATTCCTTGCCTCGATCTCGACTAATTTGCATTTTTTCGCTTGTCCATATTATTTTTTTTTTTTTACTTTTTTTGCGAGTTTTTTTTTTTTGCTCTGGAGAGAGGGGGGGAAAAGGGTGGGGGGCCGGGAGGGGGGGGGGGGAAGACCGCGGCTTTCCACCCTGGTATCTCATTAAAAATCTCAAATTCCAACAGTTTTTTTCCAAATTTTGGTTTGTCTCAATTTAACATCAGAAGCCTCAGACACCATGCGGTTTTGCGAACTTTTCGTATCATCCGACCCCCGGAAATTAAATGCAGCAATATTTCTGCGCATCAGCCACAAAAACTGATAGATTTGCGCAGTAACCACAGGCAACGGGCGGACCGAGAGATTCTCCTGGCAGTCATTAGAGTTCCACCTGGCGCAGCAATCCGAAAATCGCCAGTTTCCTGATTTTATCGGAAAATGTTTCTTTCTTTACCACACGTTGACGTTTTGCAGTAAATACGGTGGTTTTCAAATTGTGCATAGATAGGTTTCCTTTATCCTAAAGTAACGGGCAGGTGAAGTGATTTCTGCATTCCTAACCTTTGTTACTACCGAATGCCAACTTTCTTCTATTTTTAGCTGCACGCGTTCGTAGTAGAGAGGAACCCAGACATATTGGGACAATTGGTCACCCACATAACGTAGTTTGTAGCCCCAATAGCCAGCGGCTAATACCCCCACCCTACTGCATACTTCCGCCACGCGTTTATGTCCCAAGGGATGCTTCTTTGCTTATTTTTCTTGATAATTGAACCTAATAAAAATAGTCATAAATTATCTAGGGTTTGGTGGTAAATTAGGAGGGCAGGGGCAACGCGTTGCCGTAAGAATTTCTGGGCTCTTGGACCAAGATTGGCTCTTCTTTTTCACAGGAAAGACACAAAAATTGCTCTCTGAATTTCATTGATTAATTTAAACGAATAAACTATTGTAATATTAAACTCTATATAACTTAAGATGGACCATAAATGGTGCCAAAAAGCATGTTTGACCTATTTCTTGTGTAAATTCAGTATTTCTATTTCCAGAAACAGCAAAACGATTTTTTTGGTTAGCTGTTTTTTTCATATCTTCTCATATTATCTCATATCATGGCTTAACTTTCCCTGTAAAACATAAATTAAATATATAAAATCATAACTTCAGACGATGAGCTGCCTGCCCAACGAGGTCCAGCACAAAATCATGTCTCATCTTGGGCTACAGGACTTCTACCGATACGCCCAGACGTGCCGCCACATCCAAGAAGCCGCCATCTGGTATCCGAATAAGAATTGGGATTTGACACTGTACGTCTCGTTCAACCGAGTCTCCTTCCGGGCACCTAGCATGCTACGCCATGCCCAGTTGATACGCTATGAAAGTCGAGAAGTATTGTTCCGAAACGCGAAAATCAGCCACTTGGCGCTGACAAACGCGACGATCGAGATGTACGGGTTGAAGGCGAAGACACTGCAGTTGACCGACGCAAAGGCCGACGTCATCGAGGTGCTGAACAGGCACAAGCCGGAAGAAAACTATTATATGGTCACCCTACAAGCGGCCCAGGATCCGCGCACATTTCCAGCTATCGATGAATTTTCGCGAAAGTTTATTGATCGGTTTTGCATCTACTGTCATCCAGATGCAGCGCTACATGATTATCTTACCTTCCAACATCACGAATTAACGCTACAACGATTGATTCCGATACCAACCACTGATTATGTGAAGTCGGTGGTAGAGCAATGGTTGGACAAGAAGCGAGAAATTGGCAGGATCACGATTCAATTCCCAGGAGCTGTGGATGTTGATGCTATCGTCAGAATCGAGGGGTCATCGCGGCCCACCCCGGAAAGAATCGAATTCCGACGATTCGACGGGCTGCTGTTACGGATGTCATTTATCATGGATCGTACGGGTATCAAGTGGTTGGCCGCGTCGATGCGGGTCCATGAATCGTGATCATCATTCCTTGCGTTATAAACGATGTGATAATTAATAAATATTTGGCGGATTGGAGCGGAAAAACGTTGCAGCACACTTAATGGCACGAGAATATATCAAAACTTTTTTTTGTTTAACAGCTAGAGTGGATTCTGAGTGGTAGCTTTTGAAAACCCCAAATTCTTTTGCCAACCCTGATGCATTTGAACAGTTACTAACAAAATTTGGGTGATGTATAGATTTTGAGCGTCTAAAACCCAAGCGAAAATTTCGGTTCGACCGGGCAGAACGGAAAAAACCTTTGGCTTTTAATGATCAAATCGGTTTTTTTCGGAGTTTGTAATCTGTTGTACTGACCTCAAATCATCTTGGAAATGCTTTATTTCATTCCTTTCAATCGATAAAAGCTTGGGTCCTGATTATGGGAGGTAGTGGAGATCGGGCGGGTAAGTTCAAGTCCAAATTTTGATTTGACAGGGTTTGGGCTGCGCTAAAGACTTCAAAGACACATGGGTTGGGTATAAGGCTCGCTGAGGTAGTGAATAATTGGCAGGGGAAGTTGTATATAGTAAATTGGCCAGCAATTTAGCATTATGAAAATTTAGGGTCTGCCGAAGATTAGTCGGTTTTGACCTCGTCGGTCTTGACGATACGCGCGGTGACGGTGGTGCGGTTCGGGGCCTGAAATAGGGTTAGGTTTAGCGATCACGCATTGTAAACTTGACAAGTAGACTGATTCCAAGCAATTTTTTAGGGAAAATCAACTCACATCAGCATCGTTGTAAAGACGCTTCAGACGGAAATACGAAGAGATCAAGAACGACGTGTAGAATCCGGAGATCATGAAGCCAGAGATGTGGTTGGGGCCGTACAGTCCGAGCACCCAGTGGCCCCAGATGTTCAGGCAGAAGATGGTCAATTGCGTCTAAACGTATATAAATATAGGCGTGGCTTGCTGTTTTTCTTGAGTCATAATCTTACTACTAGCGCGTTATCAGTATGTTCTTTGTTGCAGTCGCTATCTACTCGGTGAGTCGGCGGCTGACGGCTCAAATAGCTCAAAAATAGCGCTATAAATTTTTCACTCATTCAAAGAGAACTTAATTGCATGTATACGGTACGCTACGCTACACTACGCTCATCGAAACTTACATCTTTTTTTATTTTTGAAATTCAAATTAAAAAATCCATAAAACTTACAGCAACTCGGCTAGCAAGGTACGGAATCTGAGCCTGGGGAGCAAAGTGACGAGCGTGTAGCGAAATTATGGCCGGAACCAACGACAAAACACCGAAAAGCCGACACCACATGATGTGATGGGAGTCGAACGTGCTGTCGGGCTTGATCTGCAACAATCCGTTAATGTTCTCTAATGAAAAGTAATGAAAAATCGATAACTCCTAGGCAAGAACATACGATCAGCTTCAAGATATGGTTGGGGAACGCGAAGTGCATCAACGCCATCAGGAACGAGACGGCCGAGTCGGCGTAGAAGGCGTTTTCAGCGTAGAACGAGCCGCGACCCTGGAAATTGGGGTGTAACGTAGTCTAACGTAATTTTAGCGACATTTTCGACGCTGTATTTCCTTACTTACCTCAAGCCATAACGTCGTCCTCTTGCACATCTCATCGACCTCATCCTTGAACGAGCGCTGGTTCAGAATAAATCTGATGATCTCCGTCAGAAGCCAGACTCCGTCAGATAGCGCGGCGCAGATCACGAACTATAAAAAATTATAGTTGATCTTGTTATAGTTAGTTCTCGTCAAAGTTATAGTTAAAGAGAAATCTATGCTTAAAATTAGTGCTGATTTCGTTATACCTTACCCAATCCGAAATTCCCAATCCGCGGGATCCCTTCTCGGTGACGTGCCAGGCGACGAACAGCTTCGTGAACAGGGAGAAGAAGGCGGCGATGGCACGGGCAAAGGTGATTCCTAAAAAAATGGAGTTCTTAGTTGCCTTCAACTTTTGAAGACCAAAACTAGTTAAAAATTAGAACCAAGCACACCTTGCTCCTCACGAGCTCCAGTTCGGACGGTAGCACGCGTGTAGTAAGCAATACCAATCTAAAAAACAGTTTTAGGCTGGAAATACAAAAAAACCCCTGCAAATTTCTTGAAAAAAACAACAACAAAGACTCACGTGGGTGGCAGCGACAAAGTTCTGCAGGTAGATGTGCAGCGGATTGAAGTTGCCCGTCACCTAAACGAATAGTAGAAAATTGTACAAAACCAGGGTTGAAAAGCCGCGACTTTTCAACCTGGCCTCTGATCCCATGATATTGTGCACTTTCATAATTTTCGCGATTTTGGATGACAAAAAATGAGAAACCCTACCTCTCTTCCCTTATATAGGCAACCACAACTTCCGGCGTATCCTAATTGTTTCCTAACAAAGAGGGCCCTGGATTTTTCAACAAAAACTTAATTTTAACGTCGAAAATAGTAAATTTTTGAAAATTTTATTAGTGTGCAGTCATCCCAAGGCCATTACGCACCTAATGACGTATAAAAGATACACCTAACTCTCCCTTATTGAGTACTGCTGGAACCGCTGCGGGTTGCTCAGTGGCACACACACACAACCTATTTTTTATATGTGGTTTAGGTTTTCCGGCCATATTCGGATTTTTCGCGTTTCAACATAAATCTTCCGTTTTGATTTCGCTTTATTTTTTGGCTTGAAACTTTGAATTTTGAACAGAAAGTGAATAGACTTGTTTGTAAAAATTATGCAAATATCTCTTACCGTAGTCGCCAAGAAGCATCGCGGGCACACGAGGTAGAACAGGGCCAACAGCGAGTGGGCCGTTTGCTGGGCCACCGACCGGTAGTGCTTGTCGATGTAGGGGAACACCGAGGCCAAAAAGGAGAGGCCGACGAGGACGTGGGGAGCCAATTGGATCAAGTGTTGGAAGTCGTTGTAGTCCATTTCTAAAAGAACACCTGATATTTCATGATTCACCTTGAATTGCAAACACCAAAAATAAAGCGGAGAGCTTGAAAACTGTTGCCAATTCAGGACCAAAAAATATTGAATCACTTTCGAATCACTCGGACAGCATTTTGCTATTTTCGTAAATGCGAAAAATTGCGAAATCGATGAGGCGGGCTAAAGTTGGGGGACCTCTCGAAAGAGCACGTGGGGCGTGCGCATCTGGGTGTGCATGGGACGTAAACAAAAACATTCGAGAGTGAGGCAGTAGGGCCCACATGGAGGAGGAGGACAACAAAAAAGCAGAGGTAAGTTGAAAGGAGGTAGGCAAGGGCCTGGGAATTTTATGTGAAGAGGTATTCGCGTGGGAAATGGCGTATATTCCCTAAAAAAGGCAAGACACTATGCTAAATTTACCGATACCTTTGCAAATCAAATGGCAATGGCATTACGATATATTACTACTGGGAAACGGTAAAATGTGCCTGTGCTTAAAATATGCTGTTAAAAATTTTGGTGCGGAGAATCGCATAAAATTATTGAATTCTGAACAAAATGACCATAGTGTAATAAAAGAAGTATCTAAAATAGACAAACAAATTACCTCAATTTTGCGACATCGCAACGGCTTAACGTTACGATTTATAATTATTAGCCTTGAGGCAGTCAAAGGGCTTTGTACTTGATCCAAAAAAGCATAGCCGAAATAGCATGACTTCGGACAAAAACCATGCCTTAATTTTCCGATACCTTTGGTATCAAAATTTTAATACAATTACAATATGTAATTTCTTACGAAAAATGAGAAAATGACCTTAAAATCGATACCAAAACAATGATACCTCCCCGAAACCATAGGTCAAGAGCCCCTGAAGACAACGATGGAGGATCAGGTTCAACCTAGGGAGTATATGTGTCGGTTTGTTTGTCTGTTTCCCTCCGCCACTCGCGTTGAAGGGGAAACCCAGCTGGAGACATCTCAAACACCCGCTCTACCTCTACCCGCTACCAATACCTAACCTGACCCCCAAATAAACACATAAAAGGGGACTGGCAGCCAGGTGGGCCGGCAACTTTAGAAGTAGACTACGACTGGCAACTATCGACAGCCACCTGGGTGCTGCTCGTAAAATCGCGGACTCTTGGTGGATGAAATGGGAAAGTTGGTTTTCGGTGGGCTACTGGGCATTAAAGGATCGGAAATTTTATGGGTAGTAAATAGCGAAACAGGAACTTTTAAAGGCATCATTTAAGGCTCAAAATGCCAAAAAAAAGCTAAAAATACGCATGGCCTCAAGAGACTGAAGCCGAATTTGCATAGAAAGATAAGCTCCAATCCGGGGACCGCAGCCTTCCCTAAATTTGCCCAGAAAACAAGCGGAAGATGCCGCCCGGAAAGCCGAAATTCAAATAGGAAAATTGGGCCTGGAGCTTTCTGAAAATCGGAGAGGAAGCACCGACGAAAAGGATGGAAAACCGGGCTGTAATAGCGAAATTTATGCATAGAAAAATTCTCTTACGCACCAAGTTACGAGACAGGATTACAGTAATTACATTAACTTCAGTAGTGTTAGATATCCAAAGGCAAGCGCAAGAAATTCTCTCTAAATGGGAGGTGCCAGCAGGTTTCCCCATTGAAAAGCGAATTGAACGGCCAGAAATAGAGCGAAAACGGTTTAAAGGATCATCATCTTTCACATTAGGGTTCGGAGCCTGATAGCCTGTGGCGTCCCTTGAAAGGGCTGCGGTAGATCAAGTCGATCTCCAAACGAACGAAGGCAAGTTAGCTCAAAAATCACTATAATAACTGAGTTGTGGTGTGTGTGTGGGAAACAATGAGGGGAAAGGAGAGCACCCTCGCGGATGAGTCCACAAAATGATAAAAGAGAAAAATTAAAATTATAAATTAATTTGAAAGTTGTTTTTATAAAGGGGTGGGGGAGGGGTTGGATGAGATTGAAGGTTGAGGGGAAGGAGAGGGGTAGAGCACTTAATTAAAGCAACAATTCAAAAACGCCATCCGCTTGGCGTGCCTTTCGGCGCCAAGAATTATAGGGACCCTTCCCACCCCTAGCACCAACCACCTTCTCCGTCTCTCTTGGGGCCATGGTGTACACTAGTGGGTCCAGGGCCAAGGCGAGAGAGAGGGAGAGAGCGAGAGAGAGAGAGAGAGAGAGAGTGAGAGAGAGATCTACCCTGGCCAGGGTGCACAAAATTGGTGCCAGTTGGGCGAATCACGTGCCTCCTACCCCCATAGCCAGCCCCCAAGCGTACGCGCTCGCATCCTTTGTTCGATTCGCGAGGTGGTGGGAGGAGGAGGCATCGGATGCGGGGTGCTGCGTGCAGAGCTAGCAGATGGCGTGGGTTGGTGGGGGTGTGTGTGTGAAGGGTCCGGTCACCACAGCGGGGAGAGCCACCATGCATGGTCGAAAATTGAAAGTCACTACTGGGGTAGGAGGAGGGGATAATGAGAAAATCGAATAAACATCCTGCGCCTGGTTACTTGGTACCCAGGAATTACGAATGTGGGAACATAGGGAATTTCTGGATCTTGCTGAGCAGTATTTCGAACATCTAACCAGATTTTTCAGCGTCTTAAGGACCGATGAAGGCTTTTTAAGGGCTGCATCAATGCGAAAAAAGCTTGCGGGGTAAATTTGATACCTAACTTTGCTTTTATACTTCTAATGATGCCTATTTTAAGGTCCTAATCTTGTTGATCACTATTCTGATTAGCTACTGCAATTAAAGGAGCAATGAAGGCAAAAAAATCTATGGATTAACAGTAGGAAACATCGCTGACGACTGTTAGGCCCGGCCCTAATGCCCCAATACCTGTCATGGCGCACCACCCTTCTATCAATTGTACCTAGATTTTGATCCCAAAATCATTTTTGGTTTTATAATAGTACATCTAAGACTGTTTTGTATAATTTTAAAGGACCACTGAAGGCAACTTGGTAATCCTAATGGTCATAAATTCTATCATGTAATTTAGCGAAAATTTTATGCGACCTGGTTGACTACACAGTCCCTTTAGTGGCAATACTTACTTGTCTAACTTAATTCCCAAATACCGTAAACAAATAAGTACATAAAACTATCACAAATAAACATCGACAAATCCCGAAAAAATTTATTGCCCAGCGCGTGAAGATGGGTGGGAAATGGTGCGCGCGGGGTGGGCGTAAGGGGGATGTCGGTTGGTGTGTAGCATCCGGTTGAGAGCAAACATCCCACTCTTCTTCTTCTTCTTCATGGTGGCGACATTGTTTCCGGGTCCACACCCCGGGCCGAGGACACCAAAATGTCCCGTCAAGGCCGACGGGGTCGGCCCATGCATACCGACGGCTATAATTTGCCCTCGGGCGGGGGTGGGGGGACTTTGATCTGGCAAAGTCCTAGTGGAGCGTTAAGAGGATTAAGATAGACTTATTGTTAGCTTTTCGGGATTCAGAAAATCATCTCGATTTTGGCCTCTTCTTCTCCGAAAACTTCCGCGTTACCGATATAAATAGCGACGCATATTTTAGTGCATTTCAAAGTTTTTGGATGCATACATATTTATTTGGACGTGCGTCGAATCCAATAGCCTTCAGAAGCAAGCTTACAATGGAGTGGCTACGGGTATGGCACCATGAAATGCATATCCCGACGGCACTCCACCGCAGCTGGCTCTTTTTCGGGGAAAGCGAGGGTTCAGGTTGAGGTATCAAAGTGTACAGATTTTCATAAGCCAATAGACAAGCGTTAAAAATGCGAAGGCAATGTTGCTACCGTAGGCTTACCGTCAGCAGCCGCACCAGGAAAAGTTTTTTGGGCTTTCGTGCGACACTGCACAAAATCTGAAAGCTGATCTATATAAGAAAGCGCCGCTTAGGAGTTAGCGATACTATAACAGGCTGTTTTAGCATATTTTAGAATTGATTGATAATCCTACCAACCGTGCTCAGAAGCAAAGATAGAACATCTTGGAGCTCAAGCTCTTTTCGGTGGATGTTGGTTGGGCACGGTTTCCCCCATAACACCTTATGAATGGAAGAATAGGCTGCTTAACCACCAAACCAGAAACTCCGCCCTCGCGCAAAGTGTATCAACAGCAAGAGAACAATTCTCTATCCATTAAATACCATCCAACAGCTCAACGGTCAGCGCGCCTCGAAGAAAATATCCGGAAAACATATTCGATGTCTGCCAGTGCCCGGCGTCGAGAAAAATCGAATGGGCGTTGTTGAGCAGGGTGGGGAGGCAGTTCTGGATTGGGGAGTCGAGGGGGACTACCCGTTTTTCCCGTCGGCTCCACCCCCCTATCAGGAATTGATATTCCTCCGGTGGGCGGCAGGCTGGTGGCGCCACGCAGCTTATCGCCGAGGGGAGGTGGACCCGAAAATTGTGGCGCGCCGGATACGGAAAGTCTGTGCCGGCGGGGCCCGCGTCACTGGCTGCTAGGTCGGGGCTAGATCGTTGCTGGACAAAATTCAAATTTTATGATCGGCGGCCCGGGGCTGGGGGCTGCAAAGTTGCGATAAAATGTCTGGTTTTTTGGGTCCAAAGTTGCGAACTGATAGCGGGGATTCAAATTTTGACCTCGAAGCTTGATCGCCACTGAAAAACACGTTATGGTTTCGTTGAAATTCCAATGTCTAGTTCAAAAATCAAGACCACGAAAAAGAACTAGAAATAACCTTGAAATTGCGCATGGTATTATGACTACTCCGCTACTAATTTTTCTGCAACTACTACCTGAAAGCGTCACTTTCGTTACGTTTACTAGCTTATGCTTACGTTTTTACGCGTATATGTAGCAGGTATACGATTTTAATGCGGCCTAATCTCGACTCTAAAACGTTTACTGACCTGCTAGTCCCTTAATGGCAGAAGGTATTACTGCATAGCGTGTCGAGTTCTTCAATCAATACATCGAAAGGGCCAAGGCTAGGGAAAAGTTGCTTAGCTTTAAAAAGGAAAACCCCAGCGGAGGTTTTTGACTTCCAAAC